GATGCTTTGGGCTGGTGGCTTGATGATAATTGATTGTTGGGTTTCATTCCCAGCATCGATATTTGACGACCTGGGAACGAGACTGAACAACCAACTATCTTTCTTGGCTCTTTTCATTCGGCCGGTGCAAATGCCATTAGGAGCACTACAACCAGCCAACGAGATTTTCTGTCTCATGTACTACTTCTAAGATACAGTGAAGGTTTCAGCTGAGATGACAAAAAGTTATTTTTTATTAAAGGTACCTACTGCAGCTTTAAGTTGACCTTCTATCTATCCAAACCTGTCTCACTCCTTAAATACAGCAGCTTGATCAGTGGCCCTCCACTTCAAAATATGATGCTGTAGGTATCCCTGTAGCTGTAACCACCCTTGATCTATCACATTTCATTGTTGCACACCAATGTTTAACAATCAACAATAAAACATGTGAAAATTCATCACAGTATAAGAGAAAAAGACACACACTGATGTTGCTTACAACAGCAGTCAAGCAGAATATAATTATTTTATTGCAAAATTACATCATACATCATGGACACAGGGCATTAACTTGCTTTCATTCAAAGACTGACGGCAAGTTGAGGCCTGATTTCTGGGAACTCCTTACAGCAAAAATGTAAATTATATTATTCCTAATCTACTGCCTGTAAGTATGACATTCAAAGGCATTTCCCACAATCACACTTCCCAGTCACTGGGGGTTAAACCAGGCCAGACTCTGTGTAACACTCCTGTAAAAGGAGGTCTGTCTGTCTTCCTGTCAGGCAGGATACCATTAACATGCCCCAATGCTGGTGTGGTAAAGCCTTCCGTGTGTAGCAGCAGCCCCTATGAGTAGAGGCATTTCCATTTAAATGTTTAATGGTTAAATCTCACTCTTCATCTAGATCTAGAGAATGATGATTCACTGTCCCATAACAAAACTTTTGTCTGTGCATGTGTGCGTGTTTTAGTGTTTGTGTGTGTTTTGGCACGACAGGCTGCTCTAATATGCCCTAATAACCATGATGTCATCCACCTGTTTTTTGGCTCAGGGGCAGCGATGACTGATGGGACAATTTTGGATAATCATCTTATCTGATCTGGAGCTCATGAGCTGAAACCCAAAGAAATTACAAACCATAAATGTGAAAAGTCGTCTATTCCAAAATACTCTGGGGGGTTTATCCACTTTAGGGAACATGGTGGGTTTTCCACTCTGTTTCTTTAAAATAATGTTTATAAAGTCTGGAAAAGTGTTTGTTTTCATAAAATCCACAAATTTTGTTTCATTGACCCTTTCAGTCATTTTGTGGCAGGGGATTCCTGTCTAAGCTGTTCATATTTAATGGAAGGTTCACCTGTGCAGCCTAGAAAGGAACGGTGAGGGTCCCTGAATGCAACACTGTAATGAAAATGCTCTGAAAATACCTTTTAGAAAGCGCAGCTGTCCTCTGAATACCCTCTCCTTTTATAATATTGTGTAGCTAGCTCTTTCATGCTGACGCTAACATTTTTCTCCCACTGAATCAAACATTAACCCTGTCTTTAGAATATCTCAGGGCAGCCAGGTTAATGCAGTGCCTGTGCGACCCAACAGCATACTGTCTGACCTTTGAGGAGGTTCACCATTAACCTCAAGCTCAGTGGTAAAAAAAAAAAAAAAAAAACGTGTCCTGAGTTCACACTGCTTTGAGAAAGACTTCTCGTCTGTAGATTCTTTCATTTCATCAATGGAAAACAACAGTGTGAAATCCAAAATGCTGCAGGGGTCTGAAAATAAATGAGTCATACAGTAGGTAATGTTATTGACGAGAAGATAAATTATTGCTGATCTCTCTCTTAGTTGAGCATGAAATGCCAAGAGGAAGCATTTCATAAACCGCATTGCTGTTCAAACCAGTTTGGCAGTTTATGGTCCAGACACATGCCACTTTGTTACTGCCAACTACTACTTTTACTGGGAAATAGAACTGTAAAGCACTGATAGGAAGCTTACTATCATTTGCCTTCATCAACCTTTAAAAACATTTAAAAACAACTAACACATTTAAGCACAGTATCTGATGGTGTATTTTTCCATAAGGGTAACATTATGTCATTTAAAATAGATGGGTGTATAGTCAGGCAAAGACAGAATGAAAACAAAAAAATGGGGGAAAAATAAAAGACAACCAACAGACATAAGGTTCAGTTACAAGTCTTTCTTAGGAATTTGAAAAGTAAAGGTACAGCAATAGGTTTTAATAGTAATTCATTCATAATCAATTCATAGATAAATCATAAAAGTAGAGTCCAGAGGGAAAAGGAGAGACTGATGGAAAATACCTGAACAAAACATCCAATAAAACAAATGTGGTCGGTGCGTATGTCAGCTAGCTTATAGCTAATGTCAGGAGAGTCATCATTAGCCGAAGGCCTGTATTCCACTCTCCCTGGAGTTTCTTTCCCCTAATATATGAGTATATTTTGATGCGTAAGTGTCAGGTTGCCTTTATCGCCATGGTAACAACACAATCGGCAATAAACATGTGGTTAACATTGTGAAATAGTCACAATTTGGCTAGGTTTAGGCATCGAAACTGCTTGGTTTGGTTTAGGAAAATATCATAGTTCAGGTTAAAATTAGTATGTCAGTTAAATTACATTATGAATGTAAGTTAAATGTGTAAGTCATACCAGGCTGGTATTTTCGGAGCAATGGGGCTTCAGAGTAATTGACATTTGTGTTAAAGAATATCGGGCTCAATCCAGTGGGATATTTTTCAGACTGTTGGGCTGCCCCATAGGAACAATGGCATGGCACCAGTACACTGGCTGTTTGGGGCAAATACGCGAACTTTCCAGTGGTCAAATTTGCACAAATAACACAAGATGAAAGTTAACTTCAATTTCTATTTGAACACCTTAATAACTTCAGTCATCCCTTTACTTTTCATCGAGCACCATCAGTTACTTTAGTTTATGACCTGTGTTTAGTGGTAATGAGAAAATGCATGCTAGAACACTAAACTAGGATGTTTACGTTCGTAAACTTCTAAATATCAGCATGTTAGAATTATTTATATATAGGTATTTGTTAATGTACCCCTCTTACTATAAGCAGCTAAAGAAGAATGTAGGGCCAAAGGAAGGAGTCAGTCTCTGAGAATCTTGAGGAAAGATATAAACAAATTAAAGTAAAATAAATGACAGGTTAAAGTAAAGTGAGTACATCAAAAAGGTAAATTATGGCTGGAATGCACCAAACTTCACAGATGAAATAACAGCACAATGATGGGTTCCAAGGGTTGTTTTTCTTTATCTTTAATTACAGAGTTCACCTCCGTTATCTAATGTAGCAATCACATTCTCATCGCCTGTATTTGCTTTATGCTTATCTCACATAGCTACTCCTGTAGAGTTTGATGGGCTGAGCATAACAGGACCGCTGCCAGCGTTGTGGCTTTGATTACAAGCGGGACCACCTATGCTAAAAATGCATGCACTCACAGTACAGTAAGGCAGCTCGGGTAAAAAACATCCACCAAATGGACTACGCTGTTAAAAGAATAAACTGCTGAGCGTTGGCCTGCCAAGACAACACAAGAGGAAATTTACTCAGCCATAACAACCTCAATGCAAGGTCAGGCCTCTCCACCACACTGAGGACTGAAATTCATTTGAATACCTTTGGCAGCGTGTAGAAGTCGAGTTTGGATGGATGTGGAGTTGAGCTCCAGAATATTCAAATTGTTGATGCTGAGAGTTCAACGACATCTACGAATGTTATGATGACCTCTCATAATTGTACACTACAAGAAGTGATGTTTTGAAAGAAAATATGCTTCAAACTTAACTTGTCTGTGGTAAGACCAATAAAATGGATCATAGTGTATGTCTTTTTGGGCACGTTTTGGCGCGGGTGTGTATGTGTGAACACTGGAGACATCAATACATCAATGCATGTGGTAACATAAGGTGAAAAGAGGTGTGAGAAATGTGTGTGACGTCCAAGAGGAGCATGGCAGTGTGTTGATTGGCACATTGGGTGTGTGTGTGTGTGTGTGTGTGGTGTGTGTGTGCACTTCCTTTGTAATGATAGCTCTCAGTCTCTTGCCAGGCGGCCAGGCAACTCCTCTAAACCTCAGGATGTTTGCCAATCCCCGAAGCCCAGAGAATATGGCCTGCAAATGGGCCACAGAGAAAGCCTGAGCCCCTGTCAGCTACTTAGGCAACCAACATTCATAATTAATGCAAGACAACAAACACAAACAGTCCGTGTTAAGAGTAAGCTTCTGAATCTGCAGCAGTGTAAACATGCAGGTAGTGCAGACTTTTCACTTAACTGGCAAAACTGGAGAACTTCTGTAGACAGTGAATGTGACGAAAGGTGATGTAGCAGGATGAGAACTCCATCTTGAGGTCAATGTGGGGAACATCAGTTCCTCTGCTGAAGACTGACTCACAAATGGTGGAAGAAATATCCAGATTCTCATTCTTAATTATGTCAAAGTAGCTATATCACCACTACTATTCTATTATACTCTTTTATAGTAAGTAAAGCATTTCAAATGTAACTTCTTACCTATTAGGTATGTAAGCATTACTAGCAAAATACACTAGAAAATGTTTTTATGCTCAATAAATATCATATTTCCCTCCAAATTGTTGTTAAGTAAAAGTATAATGTACCTCAAAAGTGTAGCTAAAGATCCAGTGTGCAGGATTTGGAGGCATCTAGAGGTGAAGTTGCAGATTGCAATCGACTGAATACTGCTTGCCTTCCAAGGAACTATAATACAGGAAAATGTTGGCCACGAAACTAGATAAAAATAACTAATTCTAAGGAAACAAAAACAGAGCAATTCTTATTTTCAGGTGATTATACACAAATGAAAACATACCTATTAATATTATATTCCATTTCTGCCAATAGATCCTCCTAAATGTTACAAACTGGACCTTTAAGTAGGAGAACTTGAGTAAATGTACTTACATTCCACCACTGCAAATAAATGAACACAGACAAAACAACAATCTATCAAACTATAATTTATTTGTGTTATTTGTTTGTTCCTTCAAGTGAATACACCGACAATTGAGGATAAATCAAAACCTTCCTTTTTTTTCCCCCAAAGAAACTCAGAATAAAATGCAAATGCACAAAAGTTCTCTCTCATTTTTTGCACAGGAACAATGAATCTTTTCAAGTAAACCAGCTTACAGTACATGACAAATAAGAACAAAACTGTAGCTGACTCATACAGTTAACAAGTTTCTCTGTTATTGCATAATTGTGAAATAAACATATAAAAGTGCAGACTGACAAGAAATGTGGACTTCTTCAGTGCATATATCATATGGTTACATTTACCGTAGGAAAGTAAATGGGAGTAAATATTGCAAAATTAAAGTGATAGAAAAAAAGATCAAAATAACTGACGAGTTCCTGCTACATTAACTGTTATATGCTAAAATCCCATGCATCTACTGATACATTTAATTAAGAGTGACATTATAATAATGAATATGAGTGAATACTGAAATTTAAATAGCAGGTATTCAAGGAATGTAACTTTTTTTTTGTAAAAAGTCCTGTCACTGTGTCACAGGCAGGTCAAAGATTCTTCAGTGGACAGGATGTCCCTCTCGGGCCTTTCCCCCGTCCACGTCACCCACTGACCCGACCTGGTCACTGGTCCTGGACTGAGCAGCAGATACAGCAGCTGGAGTGAAAACTCATACCTCGCTCTTTACTGCTTGTCTTTTCCTAGGACAGAGACAAAGTAGGAACACACTCACTGCCACTCTGCAAGCACACAAAGACAGAAAATGTTGCTGACAGTCAAATCATAAAAAAATAATTATTATAAGTAGTGCAACTGCAGAACCTGCATTAACAGTTAGTGTACAAATACACAATAGATACAGATTGGTTAGTTCCCCACAAATTACAAACATATAGAATAAAATGCAGTGGTGGAAAGTAACTAAATACATTAACTCACATTTTCTTCAACTTACTATAGATGATATATGATCAGCTTCTAAAATATCATGTAGTGATCAGTGAAAAAAAGTCAAAGAAATAAGTTTGAGAAAGACTTCTCTTCTGTAGATTCTTTCATTTGATCAATGGAAAACAGTGTGAAATCCACAATGCTGCAGGGGTCTGAAGACAAATATGTCATACAGTAGGTAATGCCAGTGATGAGAAGATAAATTATTGCTGATCTATCTAAGTTGAGCACGGAGTTAGTCTGGAATTGAGTTGGTTAAATTTTAAGTTGTCAGTGCAAATCAAGTTTTTTAAAGAACTGTAAAAGAAAATCTCTTTTATAATTCTGGTGCAACGATCCACCTTGTTCTTTCTTCCACTACGATACATACACTGTGCGAGTTCAGCAACCCAACATATTATATAGTCGTGCATTAGAGATAATAATCCTATATAATATTATAGTTCATACCACTAAGGGTTGATGGGCATGAGTATGTTTACTTTTGTTACTTTCATTTTGCTGTTAATAGTTCTGCAGTTTTACCTAAGTAAGAATGCAAGATGGACTATTTTTACATTGTTGTATTAATACTTCTACTGAATACTTCTTCCACCCCCACTAAAATGTCTGTCCAAATCACACAAAAACATTTCACATACTCCCAGTTTAGCCATGTACATGTTGTATTTTTGGATCTCTGCAGCTGCAACCCCCAGAGCAATGGAGGTGAGTGGAATTTAATTTGTGTCTGGCACACAAAGGATTGAAAAGGAAACGCACCCACAAAACCAACATCTCTCTACAGACCTCGCTGTTGACAGTTCTCATTATTTTCTACTTCTGGATGAAAATACATCCCAATTAAAACTGTGCTCAGTAACCCAGGGCACTGTTTTAGGTTTAGGCAGGTTGAGATATTTTTAATGATTCAGACCTGCCTTTGCCTCACTCATGACTGCGGTCCTCTTACCTTTACTGGGGACAAACTTGAGCGAGTGGCTGAATATTCAAAAACGCGAGACTCCTTCTTCTGGACCGTCATTTACAAACTCATGGCCCAGACCGTTGCCACACTTGCCACATAGAACCTGCATGCATGAAACACATCAACCTCACTTATCATATACTGATGGAACAAATGTTGGATCTGTGTGAATGATGCAGCAGCAGTAAAACAGAGGGGCTTCAGACCTTCTGACAGTAAAGATATTAGAACTTTAGCTGTACCTTGAAGGCAGTGAGAGTCTCCATCATCTTGGTGACACTGTCCTCTCTGATGGTGTCGGTGAAAGCTGGCCAAGGAGATGAGTGGGCGAACTTGGACCGGCTGGAGAACAGCGGATGGTTACACTGGGAGCACACATACATACCTGCAGGGGACAGTTATGTTTAAAAGTCGGTGCACTGTATCATTTTCTACCAAAAGAAATCATGCAATAGGGCAGTGGCTCCCAGTGTGAGTGCTGGGACCCCTGCAATGGTTCCAGAGGTCAATATGAGGGGTCTCAAGATGATTAAAGGCAGGGGCGTTTCCAGAGAGGGGGCACTGGCCACCCCTGAAATCTTATTGGCCAACCCAAGAGCCACTCATTATCCTTGCCTCTTCCACTCCACGCTGTGTTTCAAAGGCTTGTTAAAGCTAGAGAATATTCTGGTATCATATGAAACGAGATGACCTAACGCATCTCTTGGTACCAACCATGTCATGAAAATGAAAAACTGGTATGACCTTCTCCAAAGGGACCTCAAGATATCTGAATAAAAATGGGTTATACAAGTCTTTGGGGACATACGTTTATGCTAATCACATGCAGTTTGGAGGAAAAACCATGCAGTCTTTTGCATGTGGTATAAATGTGTAATTTACGCCTAGTATATTTGAATATTTCTGCATTCTGGGGTCCACAAACAGTGAATTGTATAAATTGGGAATGACTGGAAAGCTGAGACACATACTTAGTGCCATCCCTGCATAAGTCAGTGCCCTTCCTGTGCCACCCCAGTCAAAAAAGCCTGGAAACGCCCCTGATTAAAGGGATCAGAGTAACTTTTGGACAAAATTCAGTTTATGTTTCTGCTTTCTTTGAAATACTTGTGTCAGGTTGAACTCTGGTTGAACAGCTTTGTTGCCTGAACATATGATGAGGGGTCTGAAATTGCTTTATATTAAGTGGTCACATGCCAAAATAAGGTTGGGTGGGAGTTTTACTTAAATATACCATACCTTTATGACTAGTGCAAGTTGATTTCAATATGAAATAAAAAAATATTACGGCTGTGTTTTCCCCATAAACATCTTTAGCAGATTATTATTATTATTATTATTATTATTATTATTATTATTATTACTATTATTATTATTATTATTATCTATTTCTAGTCAAACTTGATTTTGATCTTTCAAATTGAAATGTCATGGAGTTAACATAAAGGCAAGTGCCCTTCCCTTCTACTCATTACTGTGATATTACACAATAATTAAATTATTATAATCTGGTAAAAAAAAATCGAAATAAAATGTTTTAGCTAACAAGACGCTTTAAAAAAAGCCTAAAATAAAAACAAAATGGTCATTTTAATCCTGAGTAAACGCAGGTTACATCACCCCACTGCTTACAGAACAACTCCACCGCCTGCTCACCTGGTTTGAAATGATCCTTGTAGACCTCACCGCCGACAAACCGACAGAAAGACATGCTGCGTCTGCACAACAGATCTAAATAACAATAGATATGGTTCAGTCTCTCTTCACACGGCGGCTACAGATGACCGGACTGTTCTCCTCCTCTCGTGTGAAGAGATCCTGGCTGGAGATTTAACAGTAGCTCCGCCCACTGCTGTTATCCGCATTAACACTAGATGTCCGTGTTTGACAACAGGAGGCAGGTGGACATGGAGGCATTTTATTGGACATAGATTCAGTCAAACCCTCAGTGGAAACCCTAAAATAGATTTACTATATGCATAAATGGCTCCATATACAGTTATAGTGTTGGGACTATATCCCTGCTATTGTATTTATTTTAGGATGAATCAAAATCAGCAATTGTCCCCATGACCCACACAGTCTGTTGTCCTTGTATTGACCTTTTCATATCACATTCTGACAACTGGGTCTTTGTTACACATTATTTAGTAAAAACTCTTAGGTGACAGTTCAACTGTGTAAAAACTGTTTCAAAATGTGTAAGAATTCAAATGTTCCAAAGATATATGGGAATTAATTGAATCTTGCCCCGAGTAGGTCCTTCTTACTGCTGCATGCTGACACCAGGAGAGAAGATGCATGATGTGATGTGATGCCCATTGCTACAAGTTGAATTACTTGTTAAATGATACAGACAAATCACAAGGCATACAGGGCACAATGGCTCACTCTTTATGTAAACCAGGGTTGATAATATTAAAATCAATGTAACTTTTCATTCCCCACCATCTAACATGTAAGTAATGTGTGTGTGTGTGTGTGTGTGTGTGTGTGTGTGTGTGTGTGAGAGAGAGAGAGAGAGAGAGAGAGAGAGAGAGAGAGAGAGAGAGAGAGAAAATTGATGAATCCTACTAGTTAACACATATATTGAGGGAAAAGCTGAATCACAAAGACAGACATCTAACCAATCCTGAGTGTGAATTTATTTTAGTTTACACATCAGAGACATGATGTCAGCGTTATCTGACCATAATGTTGTGAGTTTTACTTTATAAAGGAAACAGAGATCATAAATTAGTTTTATTTTCCATCATGAATATATATATCCTTTACTTGGTAGAAACTGAGAGAGAGCTCATAAATGATATTCTGTCCATTGCAGGTCTGTGTCCTTCATTCATACTTGCAGTAGTGCTTAAGGGCCTCTGGCAGCTCCAGCCAGTCAATGGCCATTCTGTGGACAATGTGCTTCTGGATGGCCTTCCTACACAAAGTCTGCAAGGACGAGACTGAAGCCACAGAGGAATGGGGCAAAAAAGACAGAAAAGACTGTGGATTAGCAGAATAAAAGTAGCAATGAGCAATTGTTAAATAATGAAGAAAGGTGCATTAAAGGCATGGATGAAATAGTAAATGGGTCCATGGGCCAGAGCCTATATATGTAGCAACAGTTAATAGTTTAGTTGGAAAAGCTAATCAAATGACTGAAAAGAAATGAACTATGACCACAAAGAGATGCAAAATGACACAAAGCAACCACAAATAGACGAAAGACAAACTTAAAGAGACTTGAAACAACTACAACAAGATGAAACGCATCCAGAAAGAGACACAAAACAGCTACAAAGAGATGAAACGTTACTGCAAAGAAACAAAAAATTAAGTCAAAGAGACACTAATCAACTACAAATGACCTCTCTGAGTCATTTTAATGTCTGAATGTCTTGGTACGCCTGAAAAATGTTGAAAAAAAAGTCTCTTTCAGTAACACACAGTAACATGTCTGCGCCCAGAGGCCCATTGTCTCACAATCAGTCCATGTTTAATAGTATCACTGCGACACTCACATCCATACTCCACCTGGACAATTCGGACACACTTGGTAGCAGCAAAGACGTCCACCACAGCATAGAGAGGCTGGACGGCAGGGATCCCCTTTGCAGAAGCTCCCATGTCCTCACCATTGATGATAATGTGCATATCAGCCAGGTCTTGCCCTTTAGGCACATACAGTACTCCTATTCGGCTCCGTCTGGCTGTGGGAGGCAGGGCGTTGCTCTTATACAAGTCATCCAAAATGTGGCTATAGCGTCCGGGCCTGCTCCGACCGACCAGCTTGTCCCTGGGGACCCGAATATTCTCAATGTACAAGTGAGAATCAGTGAAGAAAGTCTTTGGGTTGTTGTTGTTGTTGTTGTTGCCTTCTCCATCTCTACCTCCAACTTCAGCCTCCCCATGTCCAAGCCTTCGGCCCCCCGCCAGTCCTCCATCTCCAGCCTGTTGACCATCCGCTCCGGCATCTTCGATGATCTTGTTGTGGTTGCGAGTGATGGCAAATACCCAGCTGTCTCCTAAGTCTGTCAGGTCTGGGATGGAGTATTCAGGTACCACCTCTAAGTCCCTGGGGTCCCTGGCAGTCAGGCCTACCCGGAGGTGGCCACACCAGCCGAGCTCCTTATCCTCGATCTCTATGAGGAAAATCTCCCCGGGTTTCAGAGGTTGTTTGCTGAAACACACTCCATTTGCAAAGCTCTCTACCCGGGTGGCCTGGGTTCCTGAGTAGTCCAGTCTGACATTGGTACCATGGATGGGGTGGAATTCCATGAACTGGTCAGGAAAGGGCTCCATTTTCAGTTCTGTTTGCACCAACTGAAGCGCTCACTCTGATTCATGGAACAGAAACTACCATCAACACGATATTCCCAGTTGGATCGCTGTCAAAAAACTCAACAAACAGAAACAAACTTACTAAAACTTCCTACTCAAACAGTCCCGCAGTGGTTTCAGACTATTGCCGTCCAACACATGGTAACACTGGAAACTTGCACAGACGAGATCCGTGCTCTGTCTATCTGTGGGCCACTCAGGGAAGCTTCTGGTAGAGGGCTATTTTTGAACAGCTGCATATGTCAACAGATGGCAGTGTGAGTGTGTATCTCTCTCTGTGTGTGTGTGTGTGTGTGTGTGTGTGTGTGTGTGTGTGTGTGTGTGTTGAAGGGGGTGGCCATCATGCACAAGCCTACAGTCACTCACATGCACCAGATATGCACAAAGATCGAGGTGGGGTTAGACGGAGCAACAAAGCCCCTGGGCTCTCATTCAATTTCGCAAACCCATGTACTGAAGTAATAGCTGCGTAATTATCATAATACCATATGCCAGGGAGATATGTTAAACAGCAGGCCTTTCATAGCTGCACTCTAAATATAGTCATGCCATGCAAATGCAGGCTGGATTTCATTTTTATGTAAAGCAGCAATTAAAGTAATATACCGAGATAAAGAGGTCCGCAGAGATTTATTATGATAATGGTTTTATAGTTTAGGAATGTGAAGATGAATTGTATTTAAAAAGGGAAGCTGTCAGCAAGAATAAAGGCTCCTGTTCACTATGCCACTAGATTTATAGTTGTTCATATCATTTCTGTCTAAAAGTATCAGGTATTGTCATCAGCCCATTAAATTACACAGTATATAAAGTAGGAGCTACCTCATACCTGGCATATCCTTCATTAGTTACATAAGTGGAATTTGAAGTAATTTGTAGCATGTACATAAGAAATCAGTTCCTTGCAGGATGTTGGATGGAGATCACTGATCAACACTTGATCTTTAAAGGACGTTTTTTAACATAGTTCTCTAAAAAAAAGAAATAAAACATTGTTTCTGATGAAAATGAAAAAGCCAACTTATGAGAAATAAAAAACGGCCTTGCTCATTTCAGTACACTAATTAGTCATTCTCATTAGAGTGTTAGTTGTATGCTAATGAATCTTCTCTACTTTTCCTACTATCACACTGTGCATGCACTTAGCATTGACCATTATTGTAAAAACTGATAGGCTCCCTTTAAAACTCCAATAAGGAACGCTCCTTTTTTGTGTTGACTCTGGCGGACCCTGTGGACAAAAGCGGTAGTGTTTCCACCACCTCATTTCATTGATTTAAGGGGAAATCAGACCGAGCAGGCATTCAGAATAAGCATATAGAATTATCTTCTTGCTGTTGGTCTCTTGTGCTTATGTAGGTCATATAGAGGCATCAGTATTAATATCATAATTCATAACCAATTAAAACGCCTTGTAGTAGATCAGTATTCTCCTTCTATCCTTTCATATGTAGAAGAAGAAGATATACTTGTTTTTACACACACACACACACACACACACACACACACACACACACACACACACAACATGCCTGAAATATAACCATGCACATGCAGGGTTTATAGACATGCAAATGTGGAGAGATGGTGGAGTGATGGGCTGCCCGTAGCGCACCCGGGAGCAGATAGAGGGTTAGGTGCCTTGCTCAAGGGCATCCCGGCACTGCACCAGAGGTAGAACTGGCACCTCTGCAGCTACATATTGTGGTCCGTGCTGGATATGTCATATGAACTAAAGGAACTGCTTGTCTCACAGTAGTCATTACATAATACTGCCAGAGCAATAGTTGTTTCTAGTTTAGGGATTTTCAATGAGGATTTGAGAAATTCTGAGTGACATATAAAAAAAAGATCAAAAGCTCTATATTTACAACTCCGACAATTTGTCTAATGTAGGAAGAATGGGAAGATGTAGGTATTCTGATTTCTCCTGCATTACACAGTATGTGTTTGTCAACAATTCCTGACATTAAATCTAAATGTGAAGGTATGGAAATCTGATAAAAAAACAGAAGAATGGAAGTGCAATAACAAGAGAGGGATATATATAGCCTCAGTAGGCCCTCTAACCCTTTTAATGCAAATATTGCCACACATCTAACTGAATCAACAGGTAAACACATCCATCTGTAGTGGTTATTAGGTTATTTGGTGGATACATGACAATCAGCTGCCTTCATCTGAATGTTTAATGTGTGATCTGTAATCCTTTTAAAGATTCGTCTGAACCAGAAGTAACTAAGCCTTGGTCTGAGGCTGGACGTCGGCCTCTTTCGGGGTCTTGGGGATGTCGTTTTGTTTAAAATTGCAAATAAAAAGAAACTTTGCAAACTCTGTAGCTCTAAAGAAAACAGATTATAAAATGAGTATAAGAGAGGCTGTTGGATTAAAATGAAAAGCTTAAAAACTACAAACTGTACATATAGTGTATGTGGTCTTGAGTGAGTACTGTCAGTCATGGATGCAGCCAGCCAGGTTGTTCAGGAACTCCTCCTCCACCCAGTGATGGATGGGGGTTATTGTCTCTCACCCCAGCTGCAGCCTGCACCACTCTGCCCCGTTCTTCATATTGTCATTTCTAGGGCTTCCAGTGTGTTTTATATAGGCCAAGATGGAGGGAGGGAAAGGAGAGAGATGATGGTGTGGGTAAATTCATTCAGTTATCCTCTTCTTACTTTTTGTATTGACTATTTCTTTAAAGAATATTCCAAGCACCATCTCTTTGCCACTGGGAACATTAAGGCAATATAAAGAAAGCACCAGAGACCTATTAGTTACAATTTGGATACTTCTTCACTTGATTATAAGGTGGTTACTTCAGTTTTGCATGGATGCACGCTGGGATAGAAAACAGCTCTATTTAACCCTCAGGCTGAACTTTAGCTGTCACCATGTTTTGTACAATTAGACATCATTTACACTCTGGATCAAGCAGAGAGTTGTGTGGGTGAGTTTGTGTGTGCTTCTGTTGGGGCTGCAGGACTCTTAATCTGGATTATCATACAGCGCGGCCATGCTTTTCATAATCAGTTTGGTGAGCTGTGATTCTCGGCAGCGCATGACACATCTGGATGCAGGCAGTCGGTTGAGGGGAGGTGTGTGTGTGTGTGTGTGTGTGTGTGTGACTGCCTGGAGAGAGAGAGAGAGAGAGAGAGAGAGAGAGAGAGAGAGAGACTCCTCACTCCGCGCTCCTTGCGCACACAAATGGAGAGGGAACCAGCAGAAGACAACACTAACCGGCGGGTTTAGTCACATTTCCATGCACAGAATAATTTTTCGGGTAAGTATATATCATCATCTCCATTTCTCTTGCTATTATCTGCTTACACACATCATCAGTGCTGCAGACTTTTGCATTTTTATCCAAAAGTAAGACGAGGAGTCTGCAAGACTATCACTGGTCTGGTGCGCATAAAAAGGCATTTTACCTGATAGCTTTTATCAACATTTTCTTACTTTAACTTCTACTTCATGTCTGCGTGTCACACTCGTCTGGTGGATGTGAGTCGTTCATAGAGAGGAAGAGTACAGCTCTGAGTATATAGCCTACTGAATTCTGCGACCTGAATTTGACTTACATACTGTTTATAGCCACTACACAAGTTGGGACCACATGCTGTATATTGTGTGCATTCATATTTTATAATATGACCCTAATGTTTTCGGATTTGGTTGTCACAGCAGAAATTTGTTTTCAGTAATGTAGTCTGTAGTAGTAATCTGTCTGATCATATCCTCACTGGTGTAAATATGGCTGCAACCAGCAATTAATTTAATTATTCATCTGTTGATTATTCTTTCAATTAATCAATTAGTCAAATCATTTTGTCAGTAAAATGTCAGAGCGTAGAGAAAAATGCCCATTACGACTTCCCAGAGCCTGAGGTGACATATTTGTTGCATGACTCAAAGTCCCAAATTCAATTTGACAAAGCCGCAAATCCTGACATTTGAGAAGCTGGAACCAGAAAATGTCTGACATTGTTGCTTCAAATATGACTAATTGGGCCCAGCTGATTAACAGAATGGTTTAATTAAAAAAAGAAAATTGGTATACTTTATAATAAGGGTACAAATCATTTACTTAAGTAATGCTTAATGCATGACTCATGATAATTTAATGTATGAATAAGGATGTATGATGAATTCCTGTTGCCCACCACTAACATCAAGTCACTATGACTTTATGTGATCTGTTCAGTTGAGGAATTTTAATTCATAAATTAATTGATATGTAAAAAAACTTTAGTTAAAAAAATACTTGAACAAACTTTATATATATAATGTAATATATTGACTTTTACTTAAAAGGAGAAAACTATAATAATTCTCAACAAAACATTTTATATATTTATACATTTTACTTACTGTTTACTATACAGTTTGACATCTTTTTTAACACTAATATGTACATATTGTATTTATGTTTATTAGTACGACTGTACAGAAATAAATAATGCTACATGTTACAGATACTCAATAGTTATTGTGATTACCTTAAAAAGGGTGCTGCTTTATTTCGCAGCCAGCATACCCAGTAACTACGCTATAATTACAGTGCAGAAGGGTTGCATTTCATTTCAGTTCAAAATCTTATAAGTGTTTCCACTGGTTGAAATCCCATTGGTTGAACCACTCAGTGACCCCCTGTGCCCAGAAGCACCTGCATTTGTTTCTTTTGCTCATTTATTCAGATTCTTCCTTTAATACTTCAACCATCTGTCAGTTTTAACATAAGAATAAGAGTACTGATAGGAAGGGGACTCTGAAGGATTGGGATGTTACTAATGACTACAATCAACACTGGGTCACAAAGATGAGCTAGCTTGGAAACACACCCCACCAAATGTTGGTTTAGCCCGTAATCCGGCTGTGTGATTTGTCAGATTTCACAGTAAAACCCAGCATTAATGTTAATCTGAGATTGTTACTGTTCGTGTCTGATCAGAGGGTGGCACACAAACACAAACACAAACACACACAAACCCCTACACACACACACACACACACCCTGAGTCACAGACATGCTGTTAGGCTTATCTGTCACTGATTGAGAATGTAATGGATTGATTGAACACATTGCAGTGCACTCAGAGCAGATGTGTGCTGTGTTTCGTGCTTCAGCCGTTACACGATCACTCTGCATCACACACAGCCTCGTGGAACAGTTAACAGCTCCTCTTATATGTGTTTTACAGGAGCTTCATCAAGCATCTCACTTGTTAGGGACCTGAAATGTGTGGTTGGCCCCAGTGATCGGCCCGTGGAGTCCCAAAATGAAGCAGTTATTGATTTAAAAAATCCTTGCAAATATTTACAGTATCACGTTCAGTCTTCTCTGAAACTGCCAAAAACGAACTGTAGTCAGTCTAAAATTAAGACAGATCCAGCAAGTGGCATAGCTTATTTTTTGTCTAAAACGTTTTCAGAAACACATTTCAGTGAACTGTTTTCTCAATATAAGAGAAAGGTTCCAAATGAGTCGCCATGTTGGTCCGACTTAAAATCCCAGAGCAGAAAGCGTTTGTCCAGTCAGTTGCAGCCAGGAAGTGTTGTAGGAGGCTGTAGCCTGACTACAATGTCCAATGCATGGAGCGCGACATGACCCCTTGTGTCCAAAAACAGCCCTGTGGACAGGTACCATCACAGCTGCTAGCATGGCATTGGACTGTGGACATGTTTTAGATTAAAGCCAACCAGGGGATATGGTACCACTCAAGGCCAAAAGATTTACATAAATTTGTCGATTTTGTCCTTTCACTATAAGAAAAAGATTGATTTCATATCTATCATATGCGATATGGTAATGAAAAAAAACAGGCATGTAGCTGCAATGATTTGATATAAGAATATTTGGATTAGTGAAAAAATACAGCAGCATCTGGAGTCCCTACACAGCAGTTTCATAATGACAATATGGCAACATTTGCCCGTTCTGTTATTAGCTTGGACAAAACTGTGTTAGCTTAACAGTAGTTTAGCCTGCCTAATGTGCGTGACAGTGCATGAGCGTGTGTGTGTGTGTGTGTGTGTGTGTGTGTGTGTGTGTGTGTGTGTGTGTGTGTGTGTGTGTGTGTGTGTCTGTTTTCTGGCACCTCGCAGGTTCTGGTCCCTCTTCCCACCCTGTGAAAAGCTACGAGGAAGGTCTAATGCACCCTGGCTGCATGTGTGTCTGTGGGCTTTATCTCCCCACCGTCCATTTTGGGTGAGAGCAGATTAGTCAGAATCCACCAGCTGCTGTGGAATTGGTTGAAACTGTGCCACACAGCGCTGTAATGCAGTTACGTAAATCTGACCAGTCAGAGGTAGGGTTTAACTTGCACAAAGAGCAGGGCACTTGACCCAGAGAGACAGTGAATGAAAGGGTCCCCACTGGGCCTTTGTGCTGTTTCCCAGCTCGTGTTCAGTGATGCAGAACTGCTCTTTTCTCCCACAAAATGACAGCTGATAATTCACATTGCCTCTCTGTTCTGGGTTGGGTTTTGCTCATTTTTGATTTCTTTGAACTCCCCTTACAATTTATCTCAGGGTTACATAAGTAACTCTTTAAACAGCTCGAGAAGACATCAGAGGGAGGGTTGTGACTCCAGGTCTTTTGCGGCTGACAGTTAGCTCTTTAGAGATGAGACTGGAAGACACTAGTTGTTTCCTAGAGCAGATGACATGCTGAATATTACTTCAGAAAGTGAACGTTGTCATGCGTATTTTTCCATGAAAACATTCAGCATTTGTTTAGGGATTACAATTTCGACAAAGCCAAAAATATACTGTTTTATACTGAAAGATTGCATCTGTACTCAAATTATATTTTTTTCATTTCATGTTCGTGTGCACAGAAAGTCTCTGTACATAAATTGAATGACATCCTATCATCCCCAAAAGACATTAGATCCAAGCCTGAACTGCCCTAGTTTGTGCAACATTTGGGGGAGACAGACTGTCTTGTCTATTTTTGCATGCTTCTAAAACTCACTCAGTATGTGGAACGACATCTATGGGAGAGGGGCTCACTTGGATCTGATTCAGGCTCACTAGTCTCCAGATTAATGTAGATTTCCACAACTCTAAACTACGTGACATTCACACATTAATGCGTAGTTGGCTCTGGTAAGCAGTTTCTGTGAAAATGAGGCACAAGTATAGAAAAGATGCCCTTCCTCTCTCTCCATGGCTCATTCCCTGACTGCTTTTATTTGTTCTGCCCCCGAGGCTTAATAATGTAGCTGACCATGTTCTTTATTTATTCTCTTTCACTGACTCTTAGGTGCCTTGGCTGTGCAATGTAAAGTCAAGAAATGGCAGAGAGTGGAACAAATGGGGAAAGAAGAAGCGAGGATAAAGAAAGAGGAGGTGGCAGACCTCTCCAGGAGCCCCACAGCCCAGCTCTTGGCCTCTCCCCAGGCAGCGCCCCCACCCTTGGGAGCAAGAGGCATCTGCCTCGAGGGATTGTGATCCAGCTGACTGGGACTGAGGGAGAATGGGACAGTCTCGATGACAGTGAGCTCATCTTCTCCCTCGACCACGATGACGACCACCCCTCTATATCTCTCTCCAAGGAGAGGCAGTTTTCTGTTGAGGATGACAGAGGGTTGCAGTCCCAAGCGTTCCATGTCCCTCTTTCTCCCTCGTCTCCTGGCTCTCTGGGCACTGCCACTGGCCCCAGCTTTCTCTCCCCAGGCCCTCCTTCACCCACCCACCGACCCTTTGCAAGCCTGGTCAAGTCTCTCTCCACAGAGCTGGAGCTCAAAGAAGGCTCCACCCTCAGACCTAAGCCCCTTCTCAGCCTCGTAAAGTCCATCTCCACGGAGATCTCCCGCTCAGAGCCCGAGGTGTCGCAGTCAAAATCTGACTCCCGCCTCAACCTCCACCTATGGAAACAGCTTACCCAATCAAAAACCCGCAGCAATGGGGACTCTCGCACTGCGCCCCCTTCTCCTAGCTCACTCTCCCCTAGTGGAGAGGGTCTGAAAGGGGGCTTCTTCAAAATGGAGTTAGAGGACACCAGGAGGAAGCTCTCGGAGGCCGTGCACGAGCCTCTGAGCAGCATGTTCAGTAAGATCATGAGAGAGGAGAGCGCAGGCAGCCCCAAACACCAGGGTAAGACCCAGGGGGCTCATCAGGGTAGCTCCAGAGGTTTAGGGCGTGAAAGCAGCACGGACACGGTTCTTTCTGACTCTCCTGTGAGGAACACTAGAAAAACAGATGCTGATGTTTTGCCTGTGTTTGACTGGCCTTCTGCCAGACATCCCGGGAGAAGTCACCGCAGCCACTGCCCTGTGCATCATAGCAGACAACATCACAGGGATGAGGAGCTGGAAATATATACAGACGGCGACATGATGCAAGTTTTAGCCATTGAGACTCAGGGGCCAGAGAGAAGATCACCTGTTGGTCCTCAGGTCCTTGCATCACCACTGGTTAGGACTTTTCCCTTTTCACAACCCCCTCCTCCTCTGCCACGCACATGTTTATTCTGTGTAGCAGTGCTGTCCTACGGCTATTTCATCCTACCTCTCAGTCCATACTTCTCTGGCCTGGCTCTGGGATTAGCACTCGGCTTCTTGCTAGGATTGTTTCTGATCAGGATGGGTTCCAGGTCTCACTGCTCTGATCCTCCATACAGACCACCACAGACTCTGTTGGGTGAGGGGATTCTGTCTGGTGGCACTCTCAGTATTGAGCCCGACACCCTCAAGGTAAATGGAGAAAAATGTCTTGTGTTTTTGTTCTCGCCTTATTTTCAGCCACCTCAGTCTCACTCCAATGCTCACACATTTCTCAACATGTCTTCCATAAATAACTTCTGAAAAAGAGCAATTAAAGGTATCATAAAGAAATCATCAGAATTTCATTCGTTTGTTTCGCCCAACCCTTGTCTGTTGGGTTTTTAGTTGGCATTTTGGGAAATATGCTTCGGTTTCTGTTGGACATTTAGATGAGAAAATAAATACTACTATAATGTCTGTCAATTAAATATAGTGATAAGCTTAGAACAAAGACTTGGAACAGAGAGAAATAATTAGCCTGACTGTTTCCGAATTTAACTAAATTTGCCTACCAGCTGCCAGACAACGTCGAGAAACTAATATAGTGCGGCTCACAACTCCTGTTTCCATTCTTTATGCTCCATCTAAGCCAACTGGCTGCAGGTTGTAGCTTTATACTGCAGGGAGAGGTATGAGAGTGATATCACTTACTAATACTAATAATGTTAGTCAAGTCTCCATCCAAATTTATGTGCAAATTTGAATGTATTTTACAGAAAATTTGCAAAAATAAAATGCAGATTAACGCACATTTCCATCCACTGCTCTTATGTGAATGTTAGGAGAAGACTGTATTGAGATAAACAGTTTTTTCTGTCAGGATCAATGAAACTATGGTAGAGGAGGAGGGCTCAATGAGATGACATCATTAAGAGCCCCAGTCGAACCTGAAATGAACATTTGTCATTTCTGCCAACAAATCCTTCTAAATGTTTCACACTTGACCTTTAATTTAATTTATTACAAATTATTGGTTTCAGTCATTTATATGCACATGCATTTTTTTTTGCACAAACTGAAAATGCACATAAAAACAGGTGGATGAAGTGAGTATATTGTTATATGGTCAATGTGAAAATGCCAGTGTAGGATTTTGATCATATCAACTACAGTATGAATAAACCCTAGCAACCAATTTTTGCTCTTGAAACTGGTACCAGGAGGTACAAGAGAACAATTTCAGAAATTGCCTTTGGAGTGAAAAAAGGTTCAAAACAAACTGAAATTTAATATCTTTCTGACTGCCATACTAGCACAGCTGCAGACTACTCTGACTTGTGGCATTTCAAACAAACAAAATATTATCAGGAAAACCTACTTAATGAAAATGACTGATTTGTGAGTGAACTTTAAAAAGCATGTTTAAAGGCTACTCTAAATACTGTAACAAGAGTAATTACTATGCAGTTGTGCTAATAGAATAGTTAGTGTAGTGTCAAGTTGGCAAGCCATTTCAGCACCTCTGCTGACTGGTTCCTTCAAAGATTAAAGCTTCTGAAAGTGGAATGCAATTAAAAACTTCAATAATAAAAACTGCCTGAGCTGCAGTGGTAATTACTGTTCTTCTCCTGGCTGAGCTTGACACAGGGCAACTGGAGAGGACAGCTACCACCCAGACAATGTCAGTTCCAGAGGCAATTAGCGGGGAATACAGGCAGGAGGAAGCTGTAATTTGTCAAGGCGCAAGGCAGGAGAGTAGTGGTGATGGGGGTTTGCTGTCTCAGGCTTGAGATAATTCCCTTGTTTGGTCATTAGCAGTTTGGTGTCAGTCCGAGGATTGTTACAGTGTAAAAGAGCCACAAGGTTTATGGGTAATCAGATTTCAGAATGAGATCAGTTGTGGTGTTTGATTGCGGGCACACGTCTGCAACGAGGGCAGAGGCTGACACTGCGAGATAAAGCCAAATAAAATTTCAGTATGTATTATACACTGTTTATTAGTTAATTGGCACATTAAGAGGGGGCATCAAAGGGGAGGGGAGCATTCAGCTTACATACAGCCGTACTGAACACTTCAGCATATATTTCAGACTGAAGGACGTTTCATCCTAAAGCACCATTTTTTATTTTACAGGATTTTGAAGCCACCATGCTACACTAATTAGGCTTTTCAAAATTGTTGTTTTCAAGCATCTCAGTTTACACTGAGTTCATTTATGTCCAATTATAAAACAAAATGGCTTCAGGTTTTGGAAAGTTAGCTTTCCTGCTGAGATTTAGATGAGAAGATTGCTTTATTGACAATTACAGTGACTTCCTGGAGTCTTGTTGATGCCATGAGGTTGCCAGACAACCAGAGGAGTCTCCAGGAGGTCACTCAGCCAGACTGTCATTCCCCAGTAACGATTCTAACTCATAACTTTGCACATAACTTAGTTGATTAGCTTAGCCAAGCAAAGTCAATTAGCGGAGCAAATAAAAAAGTAAATAACTATATTTCCCAAAATGGTGAACTAGAATGTCTTAGCGTTACAGTAGCTCAAGGGTTGATTTGCTTCGAGATCAATGTACTGCAATTGGTTTACCCTAACCCCAACCCTGCGTCTAACCCCTAACCTTTACCATCTATAACTCAATACCCTCTGATTGGTAGAGTTTGTTGACAGCAGTATGAAGCCAGGAATGATGCGTCGCTTGCGAGGCCAAATCTAGTGCACAATGGTTTGGGCCAACCTCCTCAGATCCGTCACTGAAAAAGACACATTTACAATCAATATACTTTTTGCTCTATACTTCAAGGCTGATTGCAAACATCATACCACGATTTTAGACTGAAACAATTCCAGATGGAGTGTTTATTACTCACTTGAAACTGTGTGCAGTGTTGATTGAAGTGAACACTTACTTTCTACCTTTGCAGGGCTGGATGAATGAGATACATGATTACGACCCAGAAACCTACCACCCAGCTCTGACTCACTCCGTGTTTGCCACTCTGGAGGGCTCCTGTCTCCGCCTGGAGTCCCCACGCACCAACATTAGCCGCAGGGCAACGTACGATGAGAGAGTCCATGAGGCCACGTTTGTCAAGTCACGCTCCTTTCAGCTTGCAAAGAGCAAAGTATGATGACTGCCTAAGTAACTGTGTTAAGGGGTGTTTGTTCTGTATTTGAGACTGTGGTTAATATATTCTGGTGCTACTGTATGTAGTCACTACAGGAGCTCTGTATTAAAGTATTTTATATCCAATGAATTAATGGATGCATAGGATTTTTACTATTGAATGTAGGGTTTGGGAGTCATATTTACATTTAGTACAGTGCTTAAAATTGCTAGTAATGTCAGGGAGCAAATAAGCAAAGGTTTGAAATAAAGGTCAATGGGAAACAAATAGTTAAAACAACCTTTAATATCTATTTAATATTCTTCCGCATTTATTAATAATTCATAAATGGGACTGCATTACCCAATTAACAGTTGTCTTTTGTTTTGACATAACACAACTCTGCCACTGTTCCTCAAAGGTATTCCTGCTGCCATCTGTGTTAGCTCGGAAGAGGATGTGGAACCCAAAGTATCCCATCTGCATCCAACTGGCAGGGGGAGCCAACTCCCAGGGGGATGAGGGAGGAAGGTCGGAGGATAGTCAGGGAGAGGAGCCAGAAGCTGAACCGGCATGTCCACAACAAAGTTCCTCCAAACACGTCAATGACCTTCCCACAACTCTGTACCTCTTCGGCCGCACAGGACGTGAGAAAGAGGAGTGGTTTCGTCACTTCCTGTTTGCATCCATGGATACAGAGAGGGAAAAAGAGAGGGACAACCAGAAGCCTGGCAGATGTGTGTCCAGATCGGGTATGAGAAACGTCAATAATGCATTAGAGAAGAGAATGTGTCCAGATAAGGCATCTATACAAATGCCATGTATGTGTGGATTATGGATTACATGCTCCAGTTCTTTGCATTTCAAAACCAATCCCTTTCAAGGGAACACGCAGATCTCACAGTGGACAGGGCAAAGGTATCAGAAAAAGAATCACTGAGTTGCAACATGTTACTCATTTGTTTTTTCTTTTCTTATAGAGCTCTCTCATTTCTCATTCATTAGTTTTTCCTTTGCTACACTCCATTATGCATTATAGGGGCACTAAATGAAAACAGTTACCCTGTTGTACTCTGGGGAATTTCTTTTGACTAATACGAGAGAACAGGTTTTGGTTAAGTGATTTTAAGGATTTGCTGACGTCTTGGGAAATAAGCTTGTTTATTTTGTTGTAGTTAGACGAGAAGACTGATACCACTCTCATTTCTGTGCATGTGCACCCAGTTTAGAGCTGGAGCCAGGAGACAGTTAGTTTAGCTTAGCATAAATACTAAAAATAGGGGAGAACAGCTAGCCTGGCTCTGTCCAAATGTTTGGACCATGGGCTGCTATGACCTGCAAGGTGAGGGGTCATGTGATCAATGGGGGCTTCTAGGTGGCTAATGTTTGGTAGACTTTCTATCTCATCTACTTGTGCTGTCACAGAAACACATAACACAACTGTCCTTAGGAAATTTAGTAAAAGTATTTTTTGGGGGAAAAGAACGTATATATTTAGTTTTGACAAATTGTGATTCAAACATTGCAAACATTTTCAAATGTAAAAAATTTGAATTTTGATAATAAGCCTTGTGGCAAGCCAACTTCCCCACACATGTATTATATAATAAACATTAATATTAAAAAACTAAAAAGTTTTAAACCACATTAAAGGACCCCTTTAATATCTGTATTACAATTCTGTTGCCCCAGGATTGTCCCAGACCCAGTGTCTTTGTGTAAACAAAGTGTTAGTATTCATTATTAATTATTTTTACACACATGGATTAAACAAAAAACATTTGACATGTGAGTTTTATATAGTAGCTGGAGTTTTTACCTTTTGACAGAGCTAGGTTTCCCCCTTGTTCCCAGCCTTCGTGGTAAGCTAAGCTAGGCAACAATCCATTTGAATTATTATCTCATTTAATTCTCTAAAATTGCAATTGCATGAATAATCACTGCAACGAAAAGCATTCATTCCCAAAGCAAAGAAAACAGCTTTACCATGATTATCTTTACCAACCAGATAAATGTTTCCTTTATTCTCCCAGGTGACAATGCACTGGCACAGAGCGTTAGCCCCTCCGGTAATGTGCCAAGCAGCAGAGGCCCCAGCAGAGTGGGCAGCAGCGAAGATGACGCCCCCTCCACACCTCCCCCCTGCATGTCTGCAGCTCCCGTCAGTAAGACCTCCAGTAGCACCCGGGGCCTTTCCGTGTTAGACTACCCCCGCTACATGGCTCATCTCCTGGCCACAGAGGAGCTGACCCCCCTGTCCAGTCCTGGAGCCAGCAGCACAGAGACAAGCCCCACCGTCAAAGCAAGTGTGAGTCATGCATGCAGATAAAATTAAACGAAGCAAACGAAGAGAGGCTGTAGGACCATGCCAGAGCCGTACAGTTTACACGTTATATAGCATGTGCAGAGAGTAAACTGACCAGTGGAAAATGGTATTAGTCATCAAACATGTTATTAAAGTGGGTCAGTACATGTCTCCTGGAAGGAACGTAAGATAATACACTGCAGAGTAACCTGAATAAAACACAATGTTGTTGTGTCAGTGGAAAAACTAGCAGGGATTTTTTTGAGCCTTCACAAAATGATTCTATTTTTCTTCCTCTATTTTTAGCTCTGAATTTTACTAAAACTGCACTTTTCTGGTCCTTGCTCAAACCTCACTCAGGTTTTTGTTTTTTGACAGTGTACCTGTGATCAAGCGGAACACCCTGGGACAAGCCAGACCGCGTGGGCTAACGCTCTAATTGGTCGAATCTTCTGGGACTTCCTGCGAGAAAAGCACTGGGCAGACGTGGTCTCCCACAAGATCCAGAAAAAGCTGAGCAAAATCAGAGTGCGAGCGGTTTTGTTGAAACTTACTGTGTAAGTTTGAAGGTTAACTATACGTGTGATACATTTCATCTAATTTTAAAACTATGATCTGGTATATTCTTTGCAGCTGCCTTACTTTATGAATGAGCTGACTCTGACTGAGTTGGATATGGGCTGCTCTATGCCTCAAATCATCTCTACCTCCAGACCAGAGGTCAACCACAGAGGTGAGCACAGAGTGGAGATCAAACACACACAGAGGCAGTAACAGCAAGAGATGAGTGAGAAGACGACCTGTTGCTCATGTGATTACAGCTGAGTGCTGCAGAGCATCCGATCAGACGCTGTTATCCTGTTGTAATCTCAGGAGAGCCATTACACCACAGCCTTCAACATTTAGAGCATATTGGCTTGTGTGTGTGTGTGTGTGTGTGGGTGTGGGTGTGGGTGTGTGTTTTAAAATCAGGCAATCTGGCAGACAACACTCCTAATGATGAGTGTGTCTACGTGTGTGACCTAGTGTTTTTTTTTCTTTTTTCCACTACAGCGTTACACAACTGCCCGTTAACAAATGATCCTGTTTTTCCCTGTTTTTGCTGCTCAGTCCACATGTGTCAGCGCCTGGGGGGGGGTTATAATCTGTCGTAATTTACTATAAATTTAATTTCAAGGCTTGATAATCACAGCGAAAGCTGTTTAATCTGCCCACTAAGCAGTGTGTGTCCAGATTAGGCTGTGTGTTATGAGCTTTGTCTGAATTTTGGTAGTCTACCCTTGACCTCCGTGTGCCGCCCTCTGCAGGCCTGTGGGTGGAGCTGCAGCTGGTCTACACTGGTGCCCTACAGATGACCCTGCAGACCAAGTTCAACCTGTCCAAGCTGGGTAAAGAGGGCGGTCAGGATACAGACTGTACAACGGAAACTGGTAGCCCACGGTCAGTGCTACACACAAAGCCATACACACTCACACTGTGACACTCACTTTTGTGCATCAACAGTCCACACTTATACGCTTTTCTGAACGGTTTAATAAGTAGCATTGTTTGGCTTAACTCATTGTTTCCCAATTCTACTAAATCTCCTATTGTGTATAGAAATGTGATATTGTTATTTGTAGTAGTAGTAGCAGTCACTACCAGTGTCACTGGCTGGTTTTCTTTCACAATATATGTAATTTTATACTGTGATGAGTGTGACTTAGTACTTAGATATTTTTTAATGGTGAAAATCGAAGTAGCATACAGCATACAGCATATCCTGGCATTTAGTCCTAAATTGAACTTCAAAAAACACTGGGGCCTGCAATCCCCATAATGCAACTCAATAGCATCTTTAATTAGACCTTCCAGGGATATTTTCTCAGCCTTTAGAAAGTCCCTCCAAAACCAAGGCAGACATTATAAAGCTATAAAAATCGGTCGGTATTTCTCTCAACTTCAGGTGCATTTCATCATATTGCCCAGGTCTGGTGGCGGGAGTGATGACCCAAATCGTCCAAATAAACCCTGTATTTTCATCCTCATCATTTCTATTGCACACACACACACACACACACACACATACACACAAATAAACACCTACACGTTTCTCTTTCTACCCTAGTCTCTGATCCACAGAGCAGAGCCTCACATTACATTGATTAGCGTAGACCTGCCTGTCATAAACCCACAGTGGTAGGGATTACTGTGTGGGCAAAGCTTTACATTAGCTGCCTGTGGTGCATCTGAAGCTTTTCACAGAGATAGAAAACGTCTAGTTGTGTTTGTGAATCTTTCCAGGACACTTTCACTTTAACAGTAACTGCAATATTTGTTTCTTATACAAGACCATGGAGGTTTAAATTTGGGTATAAATCAATGTCACTTTGGATATAAAGTTTGCTATAAATGTAACTTTTTTAAAGCCAAAAATGTTTAAATTTTCCATGAACACTTTTATTTTTGTCATCCATCTGCTTATTCCTGCAGGCCCATCTTCAGTGTGTTGGCGGACAGTGATGAGGAGTCCTCCAGTGCTGGTTCATCTGATGAAGAAGAACTACTTCTGTCTGAGCCTCAGGGTCTATTGGGGGAGAAGGGACCCACATCAGCTACTGATGGGTAAACACATACACAAAAGAAATAAGTCTCATATGACTTTTTTTTCATCATTTCAATGCAAGAAGATGTTTAGAGTAAGTTATGTTGATTGAATATACAAATCAAAATGTACTATCAACTGCTGCTTTTGTGTAATAATTAAGTCGAATAGTTAAACAGATACATAAAAAAGTGTAACTTTTAATTAGCAACACCATGAAGTGTTACTTCTACCCGTCTGTGCTGTTAATGCTCATTTTTCTAAAGCAGAAAATAAACTGTGCTGACATCACACTCCAGATGGCTGTTGCTTTCATTTCCATTTCAGACTCCTGTTTCCCCCTCAGATTTTGACTTTAGCGTCTGAATACTAAATCCCCTCACATCACACTGACGCATCTCTCCTCTCCTCTCCTCTAATCCTCTCTTACAGGACAGGGGGTGGGAAGACTGGGAGGAAGATTTTGAGATTTGTGGACAAAATCGCTAAATCCAAGTATTTCCAGAAGGCGGCAGAGAACGAGTTCATTAAGAAGAAGTTTGAGGAGATGTCCAACACGCCCCTGCTGCTCACTGTGGAGGTTCAAGAGCTGTCGGGGACTCTGGTCGTCAACATCCCGCCGCCCCCTACAGACAGGATATGGTAAGTGCTGAGGCAACATAGCGGCTCAAACCCTTTTTAATGCACCTACACCAAAGAATAAGACGGGTGGGGTCTTAGTCGCACTAAAGCTGGAACAACAGGAGGCTGAAATGTGGTTGAATGCAGAAATCTCATTATAGGCTTGATAGATTTGATGATGATCTCCTCTGTAGGTACAGCTTCTGTGTGCCCCCCAAGTTGGATCTGCATGTCCGTCCCAAACTAGGGGAGAGGGAGGTGACTTTTTGTCATGTGACCGAGTGGATTGAAAAGAAACTGCAGGATGAGTTCCAGGTAAAAAAATAAAAAAATAAATACTATATACAATGTTCATATTCTCAGCTTTCCCCCCTTCTCTCACAATCACGTTTATTTTCTTCTCCAGAAAGTGTTTGTGCTGCCAAACATGGATGACATCTACTTACCCCTGATGCACTCTGCTGGGGTGGACAGCCCTCAAGCATCGCAGCATCTCTCCTCTCAGTCCCAACGGTCCCAAAGCTCCTCCACAGAGTCCATAGAGCGGATCCCACCCGAGATCTCTGGGGCAGAGTCTGACTAGTGCCTCGCTGCTGATGATCGAAGCAGAGCCGACACGGCAAAATGGATTCATTATATATTCACAGTGAGAGAAAGGGGGGGAGAATTAAAATCACCAAGCAGAACATACTACAGTTACTTTTTGCCTCTATAGACTTGCAGACTTACTAACCCTTGTGCTTCTGTCTGAACCAGGAGTTTCTAAAGGTCTGATGTTTAGCGCTGTAGGCGTGATGGAGAGTTTGCGGATTGTTTGTATCTAAAAGAGCTTCATGATACGATGAAGGGTGAGATGTTACTGTACAAACAAGTGATACCTTTTGCAAATGTTTACATGTGAATGATCCCTATGAGATTATATACATATATCTCTTTATTTGCTGCTTTGATGTTTACAGCTCAATGTCACTTTGGATATAAGTTGACTGACATCAAATAAAAGCTAGAAAAACACCTGACAGTTTGATTCTCCGCCAAATGACAGTCACACACAGAGTACATGTGAAACTTTCACACAAAAAAAACACATAACCTCGAGATATCTTACATTTCCCTATGAGCTCTTTTATTAAAAACAAACAAACAAACAAAACCCAACAAAGATTAAATATATGTCAATATTTTCCTGCATACTTGAATTGGTTCATGTGTAGCACTTTCATGGACCTCCCTCACAATTTCAAACATAATATTACTGTGCATTAAAGACTTAACTAATACTTAACTTTCGTGCAGCTTATTACTCTGTTAATGATGAATTTACATATCCTATACCAGTGGTTCACAGTCCTGTCAGATGAACTCAAACACCGCCAATCATGTTTCAAATGTGTTCATTTAAATTAATTTTAAACTGGATGCCATTAACATTACTATTGACTATAAAATTGGATATTATTAGAATATTTTTTTATACAGTTCAACTGTCAGTGTTTTTCTTTAACTTTGCTTTTGTGTTACCTGTGGCACAAGCTGAGATTTCAACCATTTATCCATTTTTAGTTAACCTTTTCAATTATTTATGTTGAATGTATCTGTTACTTTTAGCTATTCCAACCATTTATTTATTTTTAGACCAGTTTTTCCAATCATGTATACATTTTTAGCTTTTTTAAAAACCTTTTTTGACAACTTTGGAAGTATTTGGACTTTAAAGCTCGCTTAATAGCTACTTTTCACACACTCTTAATTGTAACACCTGGCATTCACGTGTTACAGCTGATTCAGTGTGTGGATATATATTGTTTAATATATTATATATTGGTTTGAGTTACTTCAAAACCATTTTAATGCACCCCTTGGCGACATCAGATACACCACCAGGGGTACACAAACCCCTGGTTGGGAAACATTATCTACTGTCCTTGTCCTCATACAAACATACTGTTCACTGTTCTATGTTTTTTTTTTCTCATTTTCTAATGGATGTCAACTTCTGGACTGACACTAGGTAATATTTTTTCAAATGGCAAATCAACCTCAGTTGAATCACAGACGGAGGGGGCGTATATTCCCCAGCTTTTACGGAAAAAATACTCTCATAGACAGGAAGTTATTTTTCTGGTTCATATGGGATAAGTAGAAGAAGAACGTGGTTCTGGATCGCTTGACCTAAATAATGTGAATATCATTTCCACTTGTTATGAACTGATGCAGTCTGGGTAGAGATCAAATGACTGTCATCCATCATCTCACGGGCACAGCTTCATTTAATAGGAGAGATACGGTGAATTGGAAGTAGGGGAAAATGTGCTTCTTTGTGCTCGGAAAAACTCTGTCATGGTCTGATGGTCATTTAGCTCAGATATACAGATAAACACAGATCTCTGAATTTAAAATGTTGGGTTTAGAAATTGGTACATTCAAAACCTGAGATACTTCTAAAAGAGAGTATTTAATAAGGTTTGGCTGGCCACGCTTAGTTTCAGCATGGGATAAAACATATAGGAGCAGATTGATGAAAATGCAGCAATAGAAAATAATGGTGACATTGATTGAAGTACAAACAAGTGAGTCAATGACGCAGAAGTCAAGATGGAAAGGAAAGATTTAAATGAACTGCTCAACAACACGACAACACAACATGGTGGAGAAACAGCCTGTACAGAATTCAAAACCAGAGAAAAAGACCTGATGCATAAAATGAAATCAGAGGGGGAAAAAGTGTGATAATGTGTGGGAGGGTGTGTCTGTGCGTGTGTGTTTGTGTGCATGTGCAAATATCACTCGGTGGAATACTGTTGAGTTATTTGCAGTATGGTTCATTAGGCAGGCCCTCAGTATTTGTTATGAGCTATTACGAGATGCAAATTCATCGCTGCAGTGAATGTAATTACTCTACAGTGGAAAAAATCTACATCAAGATATCATTTATAGTACCTATATACAACTTATGAACCATATTTACATTTATGTTAAGTTTCACAAGCCGCACCGTAACCAAATTATTATTAATTATTATAAGGGGCAGATCTAGACGGCTGCCACCCCAGTTTAGTGTCAAATGTTGTCAAATGTAACACATTCATTTGGATTAATTAAAAAAATTATGTGTTAAAAATTAAAAATTATTTAAAAAATGTTTAATGACCCCTTTACTATTCAATGCTTTACTAATGTGCCACAATACTGTGATGTTTCTGAGTTAAAATATCATAATTTTTGGGCTTTTCCAAGCGATATATGTGAGTGTTTGTGATTAAATATTTCTGCCTTCAAAGTCTCCATGCCACCCTCTTGAATATTTATCTGGATCTACCCCTGATTATTGTTTCTTATTACATAACTGATTACCTTGATGAACACTGCGGAAGTAGACACACAACCACTGTGCCTGAAACTGATTAATTGAGGAGTGCAGGTGCATTCAGTTTTTCAATGGCAATGTTAGTACTTATACCTCACATTTCCCTGGTGCAGACACTCAACACTCTGGGAGAATAGTTGGATGTATAGTACAGTAGGATGCCTTGTATGATGTTTTAAAATGCGTGTACAGTGGTTTTCAACCCATTATTCTTATTTGGAAGCCGAAACATTGGGCTTTTTTCCCTGGCATAATGCTGTTTAAAGTCTATGCACAGGGCTTGTCCGGTCCCCCTCCTTCAAGCTTGGATGTAAAAAATTAAGTGAAGTCCATGTAATGTAATGTAATGTAATGAAAATATGTGCTGAGCATACACTCTGTAGAATCTGCAGGCAAGCAACAGAGGGCAGCACCTGTTCACCATTTGGCAGGGACTACAGCACTCCTACCTGCTGACAGCATCACTTTCTTACCACCCCATCCTTAATGGAAATGCTCATGTTTTTTTCAAGTCTATCTTTATCCAGTACTCCATTGCCTATATGTACATTAAGGCCAGACACAACAGATGAATAGCGTTCTTTTTTTTGCATGACAAGTTTTCTGAAACAATGTCAGTGCAAGCAAAAGAAGGGAATGTCATTTTAAAAAGAGAGTTGAACATGAGCCAACACTTTCAGTCTACACTGTATATGTCACTTCAAATTATTTAGTTGTTTGAAATAGTAATTATGATGTCTATACTAAGTTAAGGGCATCTAAAGTAAATTATCTAGTACTCTGTATAGGTTTTTTTTTTTTACTTTTCAAGCGCTTTTGTACTACACTAAATATGCAGTTGTTAGTACAACATATAATTCCTATTCCACATTACTTATTCTTTGTAAAGTAATTGGTTTGCATGCATTATCAAGTAAGATGAACTAATAGCATCTACAGTGTGCCTCCACATATTTCATTGATGAGCTTTGATAGATTGAAACATCATAAGATAACGTAACATCCATTCCTCACATGTAGCTGGTTTGATGTGGTTGGCACATTATGCAGGAAACAGAAGGAGTGACTTCATTAAATTTGTCATGTAAGTTTGTTAGTCATGTAAGTGAAAACATCCCTTCTTCCTCCTATCTTCTTCCTGAAACTACAGCATTCGGTCTGGTGCTAAATTATGTTGAATGTTCCAAATTCTGTTTGCTGTAGCAACTAGCCAAAGAAGATCTAGTAAGATAAATAAAAAAATAGCTGTTAAGGCTGTAAAAATGTTACCAAAATATAGACAGTGGTGTTGCCCTTGCAGTGTTTGCCTTAATTTTTGTATCTTAGACTTAGACTATTCGTTTTTCCATATTAAAATTAGTATTGACCATCTTTAGGAAAAGTAATTCTGTCATTTGTTTAAAAGAGGTCACCTGGGATTGGCTCTGGCCAATCCATGACTAATTGATGGATGGATGGTGTTATGACCCTGGGTCATTTTTTGTCATTTTACTGACAGCTCTCTTTTCTCCCCCTCAGGGTGTGAGTGTGTGCCTATGTGTAAAGGTGAACAGGTGGGCCCTTGTGATTGGTCCATTCGAAGTGTTTGCTGCCACTGGCCCAATGGCTGATAGCAGCCTTCTCAAACTCCAGCTGACAGCAATCTTCTCTCTTTCACTCTGCCACTGCCAACAATGGGCCAGCCGCTAACTTTTTGTGACAGCATACATTCTAGCTTGTTAAAGCAGGAAAAGGTGTAAATGAATGATGGTTCCTTGTTCATGCTGGTTCATGTTCACTCTATTATGGCTCATCCAAAGTGTCTTCGTCTGGCTTTTAAACCTTTGTTTTTTAAGAGACTCTTCGCATGAGAATGCTTTATTTCAGAATCATTATAAATACTTACTTACTGTAATATTATCATATAATTGCCAGATTTGTAGTTCAGTTTGGGAAAAAATGGCTCTGGCAATGTACTGTGTGTACAGAAAGCATAAATGTATATTACTTACAAGATCAGTATATTATTCAGCATTGAACATGAGCTAATAAGTTAATTCTGACCATGCCTCCTCATATTAAATATATAACTATCACTATTTTTAGGTTCCCCAGAAGAGGCTTTTTTTCCTGTTAAAAATGATTGAGATTCCTTTAAGGAAGCATGTCTAACACATTCAAAGAAAGTAATCTCTTTATCAGATTATCAGCAAATAAATGGTTAACTGCATGTGTTGCAGAGCTCTCAGCTCATTAATTACACTCGGTAAACACAATATTTTTGCTTTCATGTGCATATGGACATATTCTGCTTCTCTTCCACTCAGACATTGTGTTGCATTAAAAAAAAAAGAAATGTCAGCTTTGTACCAAACATGAATAGCAGGAATGTTTCTGTTCAGTGACATCAAGGTGATTACACATAATATTGATGGCAGTGTATTGTGCAATCTGTGTGTAACAGTGTCTAAATTTAGGAAAATAAGAAAGGAAGGAATGCATTTGACAGTCAAATGTACTCCCTTTCTTGAACTAACTGACTCACCAAAACGGCATCCCGTGGCACTTGCTGAAGCTTCCTGATTCCTGTACATCACACTCACCATCACATCAGATCATAAAACTTGTTTGTAAAAGGTTTGCCAGCAGTTTAACCAGAACACATCTTTTCCCATCAGCAGCACGTTTCTGACTAATTATTTACCTCAGGTTTCCTTGTCTTTGTCTGTAAGCACAATAAATCATTTCTTTTCAAATGGCCCCTCCTAAAGTAAACTGAGGAGTTACCGTAATTCTTGGGGGGAAAAGTACACCTGACCTATTTCCTTTTACTGTGTGGCATAAGAATCACATGCGTTACATTAACATTTTTCTTGACTAATTTTATTGCACAAACAGAATCAAATATAATGGTGTAGTTACATAGCTAGTCTGACTATCTCTTTAGTAATGTAAAAATGTAATGTGATGTAAAAACTGGTTAAATACTGTGGTGATATACAGTTTATTGCAAAAACACTTTCAGGTCATATCATTTGTGACAATAGCAATAAATTATATGACTTCTACTGAGACATTTTTGATAAGCACTAGGCCGGTGGATTTGATCACTACTTATCACGGGGAAAGCATGCTGGATCACAAACTGAAATAGTTTTTCTTTGTCAAATGTAAACTAATGTTGTTGGCTATATGCATTGTGTTTACTGATTAAACAAACCAGGTTTTATGGTACGTCAAGTAATCATGTACTGTACTTTACTGCATGTGTCCATTGTGGCTCAAGCTTCCATCATTGCACAAGTTTGAAAATTAAATCAACAGAGACCTTGCAGGTAGGATGTTGGTAATTGGTCATAAAGCAAAATATTGGATTTGTTTAATGTTTGACCCAATGAGTGCCGCTACCTGAAAAGTTACAAAGATTATAAGAGTTCATCCCAGTACATGAATATGCCACATTTCAGACAATCCATCTAATACTTTTCAATTGAAACCACGAATGTCAACCTCATGGTGGAAGTAGAAAAAAAGGCAAGGGATTCTAGTCAGGGGTCGATAAATGTCTCAACGAATTTTGTTCCAATCCATCTTGCATGTCAAGATATTGCACTGGATGAGTTACAATTTGGCCTGTTGGTGGCACCAGATGAAAAGTCAGGGAGTCAGTAGGATTCATCCTCTAGGAACAATGAATGTATGTGCCTTTTTTATTGCAATCCATCCAGTAGTTGTTGAGATATTTTAGTTTGGACCAGTGAACCAACCAGACTGCCAATGCTATTTGTACATCCATGGTGCTGGTGGGGCAAAAACAAATCTGAACAAAAGGCAGAGGTTGGTGAGAAGCACAATTGAAAAGATTCTGTTGCCCTCCTTCATGAAAATACACAGATTCATATTTTGTTTTGTTTACTTTTTCAAATCTGGCTTTGTGCAGCATTTGATGGAAATACACTGACTAGTTTTGATCAGTAACACAGTCTACCCCTGCAGATATGTTATCATCTCAGTTACACCAAGTCTCACTGGCTTTTTATCATAGCCAGAAGGATATACAGCCTCAAACCCTCCAAAATGTTTTTGATGGTAATGCACAATGATGCAACAACATTATGAATGCACAAAATGCCCCATCACTCATCCATCAGCGCTGATTGGTGTGAATGTTTTGTCAAAGTAGAGCACAGGGTCCAGCATAAACACAATATAACAACCTCCCAGCTATAAACTGCAAAAAGGGATTGAAGATTTACTTAATGTGCGTCTTTCCCTTGCACTGCGAGTAGAGAATGCAGGGTTCTTCAAGTTCACTGGTTTTGCAGTATGTCCATCATAACTTGGGCAGCAGAGCAGTGAAGTGAGTGGGCAGACTAGTGACTGTTTAGGAATTTCCCTTCAGTGAAGCATCGAGTGTACACGTCCAGTCTGGAGAATATTTCTGTGACAGCTTGGAAGGGTCTTGGTCTTAGCCACTATTAAATAATAAATGAAACATTAAGTCATTTCAACAATGTGAGGTTGGTAAAATCCTACAAATGGGTTATTTATGGACTGTTTGAAAATGATTAGGATGGGGAGGGGGACTGAACCTATCAACCGGTATTCCACTGACGCCATAGTCAGCAGGACCAAAACTGCTCTGAATTACTGTTGAAAAATAATGACTTAATCATAAACTACAATATCGTTGCAATAATAATGAGCTCTCTGCAGCTTTGATCTCTGCAGTAACTCATGTTTGTGCTTTGTTCTCCTCACCTGAGCTACATGCTGTTCTCATTGGTTTCTGTATAACTGCTATAACACAAAGCCAGTTTCTCTCTCTAATTACCGCTTGTTTTCTTCTCAGTTTCCCTAATTGCTCTCCTTTGTGTAACTTTGTTACATTTTTGAAGATGCTCGACTGCATGATACATTCTCACGCAGCATAATCTGTTTGTGTTTGTGTGTGTGTGTGGTATGTGTATGTGTATGAAAACGATACTTTCACCTGCTTGTTTATGGAATTTTCAGTATGAAGTAACTTAAATGTTAGAAGTAGCTTCAACAGAAGTGAATGTCGACAGGAAGAAAACAAAAGGGAAAATAGCTGTAGAAATACCACATAAACTGTATGTCATCTGTGTGATGACTGGTATTACAATAACATTATTGTTCATACATGAAAAACATATTCATAGAAAAACCACAAGAAAACAAAACAAAACAGAAAAACAAGGTGATAAATAACCTGTTGTGACATGATGTACAATTTCCATTACGAGAAACTATTTACATACAGTACATGAGCTAATAAAATATTGTAAAGCATTAAGCTGATATGGTACATAATAATTCAGTGATCTTTTCTATCTATCATCAGTAATCATTGGACTGATTTCTATGTGTTAAAAACTGTGGCAAAGAGGAAATAGGATTACATAAAATACAGCCATTGTCAATTCCAACAATCCATTTAGAGTTCCCTGTAACTACAATGGGTTACAGTTACCTTTTTTGTATCCTGATTTCATAACTGTGGACAGGAAGCTTGCAAAAATGCGAAAAGCCCTATCTAGAGCCAGTGTTTGTCCATTCAGGGCTACTGTAGAAACATGGCGGTTCAACATGGCGAACTCTGTAGAAGAGGACCTGCTCCCTCTGTAGATAACAACTAAAAAAGCAACAATTCTTATTTTCAGGTGATTATACACACACACACACACCTATGAGTAATATATTATAGGTGCCAACACTCAGGATTGACACAAATACCGTTTTTCACTCTCTGCCATAAGAATGCGTGAAAGACACTCCTGGCGAATTGAGGTGTGTTTTATGAGGAAAATTATACGTACAGAAGAAAAACAATGTATTCCTAAGGAACTACTCTGATAAATTTAACAGTTTGAATTGGCCGCCTTATCTCAAAAAAGTTTATTTTGTTTATGATGTCATGCTATCACACTTCCTTGTTGTAAAGATTGTAAATAATTTCGATCTCGGATTAGCTAGCTCAGTATCAGTATGCTCAGTATCTGCTTTTTAATCTCTTTTTTTTCTATTAGGGGATTTTATTTATGTCTTAAGAGTAGTTTCACTCATTTATGTATTCTTATGGTATAATTTTATTGGTGCTTGTGTTATCTGAAGTTTTACTCATCAAATATCCAAAGACTGCAGCTGATAAAAAACACTCCAGGCTTGTTGTAATTATCTACATTAATTTATCTTGTTTATATCTTGTGCTTAGGATTTTATTGAGTTGTATTATTTGTTTTTACCATAAAACAAGTGACTTTGTTTTGAAAAGTGCAATATCAATAAAGATATTGTTGTTATTGTATAAATAAAGATTATTACTGCTATTAACCTATTACTTCTGGCCCCATACAAGAAAAAATCCTCACCCATAAGCTAAAGGTGTAGAAAACATCACCTCTACTTGTAGTGTCACCATGCTAGGGTGCATTACCATAATATCACATTTTATAGAAACTTCAGACATTTGTAAAGACATGATGGGGCCACTGTCTCTGCATGGCCTCCAAACTTAGAAATAACTGAAAGGTTATACCTAAATACATACTCTTCTCTTCTATATTCATTAAACACTCATGAACGAGGGACATTGCGCTACCTTGGTGCAAATTCGATTTTATTGACCTTTTTTTCAACCTATAGCCAAACTCTTATTACATTATTATTCATACATGAATAACATATTCATAGAAAAACCACAAGAAAACAAAACAACAAGGAAAAACAAGGCAATAAAAAACCTGTTGGAAAAAACCCGGATCCAGCCCTATCAGATCTCAATGCTTTGTTCTGGTAGTTGTTCAAAAGGCATTCTCACAGACATTCAGTCTGTTGGCGTACCATTTCCATTACGAGAAACTATTTACATATAGTACATGAGCTAGTTAAATATAGTAAAGCATTGAGCTGATATAGCAAAGAAATGGTACATAATAATTCAGTGATAATATTCTATCTTTTCCATCTATCATCAGTAATCATTGCACTGATTTCTATTTGTTAAAAACTGTGGCAAAGAGGAAAGAGGATTACATAAAATACAGTTCCGTGTAAATATTTAACCTCTTCAACTCCAACAATCCACTTAAATTTCCCTTTAAGTGGCTTAAAAGCTAGAAAAAAAAACATTTTGTACTACTGTGTGAAAATGTCACATACGCTTCACTGAAGCTACATTATTCTTTTACTGAATGAAATATTCAAACCTGATGATGCCATGCTCCATTTGATGAAATGGAAAAACTTTTGACATCCTCTTGTGGACTTTATTTATCTTTTAAAGCTGCTATCTCTTCAATCATTTGTATAACAGAAATATTTACAATGCTGCATAAAACACATTGGACTGACAGACCCAATGGAAAGATCTGTGGAGTTGAACAAGTTAAATATTTTACATACATACTAAATCAAAAATATTGCAAGTTATATAGTATGATTAAGAATCCCTAGCGGCTGTGGGAGGACTCTGGCTGAATCTGAAGTCGGGCCTTGGTGGCCAGGGCTGCCTTGCGGGTCATGGTGGTGCAGCGGGTCAGGATCTCCTCGGTTTTGGGTCTAGGTGGTACCCTTGGAGCGACTGAGGCCGTCTCACTGCCCCTGGATGTGACAGACTCAGAACTTGTGTCGGAGCCGCGGCGGTCTGAGAGGCTGACATCGGGGCTGCTGCTCCCACTGCCGCTGACATTAGGCTGTGCTTCCTCTTTCAAACTTGAGGATGATTCACCGCTTGAGGAGAGGCTGGAGAAGGTGCTTGCGTTGCTTGTGTTGCTCATGCTGCGTGTGCGGCTGTCTGACGCTGAGGCCTCCCTCTCTGCCTGTGTTTGTGACCAGGTCTCAGAGAGAACATCCAGAGATCGGGCTTTGTGGAGACGCCCAGGCACACCTCTGGACGGACCTGCAGAATCCCGTCGCGGGCTGTTTTCTTCGTTGATGCTGCGTGGATAAGGAGCCTGAGGTTCGCTGCTGGTTGCCAGGTTCAGAGTGGAGCTATGCAACTTTCTCTGCAGGCTGTAAACGCCTGCCCGGGGGTTGTTGTATGGTTGCAGGTACATGGAGGGGATGTAACCTCCTTTACCATTGAATCTAAAGAGAGGATTACAAGTAAAAGGGAATTTATTTCAGCCTGTTAATTATAATTTAACACAGTAAAATGCATGATTAAGTTTAGGAAATTATTTGACATCTAGTCTTATTGAGAAATATTTGATGCTGCCATCTACTCTTCCTTATTCCCTAGTCTCTATCGTTTGCAGCGCAGACAATAAAGATTGGGTTATACCTGATGAGCCACCAGCCATTGTCAGACTTCCTCAGCACCTCAACCACAGAGCCAATGGGCACAGACACTTCGTCATCCTTCTTAGTTGTGTAACTCCTCACAGCACAGTACAGGGTACCTAAAGGTCACAAGAAAACAAGCTCAAACCACAAAGCTGGCACTGCTGTATAGAATTTCTCTTGAAACATATGATAAAATAAGGACAAAATGATACAGAGTGTCTTTTTAAAAGCAGAGTGCAGAGTTTTAGTGATAGAAAGTGAAAGTGGGTTGTTTTGAACTAGGCTTCATAGGAATATGCTAAGAATGTGCATCTGGTATGAATTGATGGGCACGATTGATGCCAAATGTCAGCCTCATAAAGTACAAGTACGTAATAAAGCTGGTCGAATGAGATCAGATCAAGTGTGTCCTCTATGTGCACGCTCAAATTCAACTGCAACTAAAAGCATATAACTCACCTCCTAGCTGGAATCCAGTGTCATCATCTTCCTCTCCTTCACATAATTCCAGGTAGGGAGCAGGAAACCAAGCCAAACGCTTTTCCTCGTTCTCCACCAGCCACCAACCTGGAGAGCAGATGAAACATATACCTTCAGCACAACAGAAGTGAGTGTGAACGGTAGCTCAGGGTTCAGAGGATAAATCAAACGCTGCACTGACCTGCAGGGTCTTTGATCAGGACATCCAGCTTCTCATCCACATCGACCTTAAATGGACGATTCTTGGCATCCTTCGTCTCATAAGCATCCACGCAGCGGTAGGTCTGACTGACAAACGGGTGGGTGACACTGCCTGCATGCTGACGAGACACGCCACCCCCATCAGGCAGATCATCAGACATCAGGATCATGATGCTGCGTGAGAGAGAAGCTACGTTGAAGACAAGACTCCTATCAAATTTCTCACATAATTTGGAGTTAACAGTGACGTGGCAAACCTACCTGTTCTTGGTGAAGTCTGACTGCAGGTCATGGTCTTTGGGCATGAAGAACTGTGTGACCTCTGAGCTCTGAGTCACAGTTTGGTCGCACTTCAACAGTTTGTCGCAGTAGCTCTCCAGGAACTTCATGCGTTGGACAGAACGCTTGGATCCTTTCTGCTGGAGGCTGCTCTTTCTGGCCTCCCCTGGAATGAGGAATGAGGATGAGCATAAGGAATCTATTTGTAAAATATATAGTTTTTATTATTATTATTATTATTATTATTATTAATAATAATATTATTATATTACATGTATAATATATGAATAAATATGTTTTAGTTTATTACTGGCTGCTTTTAGTGGAGTATTAAACTCCAATCAGATGTAACATACAGTTAAAATAATCTTACCTGTAAATTTGGGGATCAATCTGTCGTTCTTCCGAACAGGGTTCATGTGAGGGAACCTCTTTTTCAGCTGCCTCTGTTTGGAAAAAAAAAGAAAAAGAAAATATTTATAACTATTAATAAATAAAATGTAGTGTACTGCAGTGTAAACAGCTCACTGAGTTCACAAAGTGATTTTTGGGTTGTTGTTTTTTTGCACTCACATGAAATTTCTTGAAATTCTGGAAGGACCTGTAGACGATCACTTCAGTTTCATCAGACCATAACACAGATATCATGAACATCTGTGGAGAGAGAGAGATAAGAGAGAAAAAAAAATACACGATCAAAGATCTCAAATACAGAAGTTATTTAACAATAAAAGAAATAAAAAAATAAAAATTGTCTTAGGTGTTTCTTAACTCACCTTGAGTTTTGGGGAGTCCCTGTGGACAGCTCCAATAATGCGGGCACTGACTACAAAGCGCTGATCAGCGACCATCGTGCGCCTCTTTGTGTCTCAGATCCCTGGATGAATAGCTGCTGTGTTGACCTTCAGTCTCTGGCTGACCTGCCTCTGCTGCTCTGCCAGCTCCGGGAGTCGTTATATATGTTCCTCATCACCGAGGGGGAGGAGGGGGGGAGGGAGGAGTCGTGGGTGAAACACATCTGAGCTCTGGAGAAACTGCACATATGCAGAGGCGTGGACAGCAGCAGCGTGATCCCAGGTGTGGCTGGATCTTCCAACATTACAGAAGAAGGTAAATGCAGAAGAACTGGAAAGAGGCATCTCAAGAAAGTTGCTCCACATACATGTGCCAATCAAAACAAGCTCAAAAAAAGGCCTTTTTACATGAAGGGCTTTTCATTTAATGGCTAATAATGGAGCCTGGAAATAAGTAAGAAGACACATTTTTTTGTGTTGTATCTGTTAATAATTGGATGACACATTATAAAATATAATGCAATAATGTAATATATATAATATAATAATAAAATATGCTACATTTCTTCCCTATCCATCCCTATTGTCAAGATATATATAGGGAGAGCCTCGATGTCATCTCCATGGTCTTCCTGAAACAGTTCCCAGTCAGTTGTCCAGTAATACTCCATCATGCATTGCTGCACACTTGTGATGATGATACACTGTCTCCTCCTAACAACAGGCTTATATGTAGGAGTAAGCGGTATCAGGCAGTGGGCTGATACTACCACTGGCATACAGCAGATCCAAGATCTCATCTGGTTGCAGGTCATGTAGTGGCTGAACTTGATGAGAATTAGTTATGGTAATATAATAATTCTGCATTATTAAAGCTGTACTATAAATACCAAAGCAAACTATCAATGCATTTAAAGGAAGAGTTAGATGTTTAGGAAAATACTAATTCACCTTCTTGCCAGGAGTTGTCATATTTATGTGCTAACTATTAAGCAAACGTGCAGCCAGGAGCTTTGCTAGCTTATCTTAGCGTAGCTTAGCACAGAGACAGGAAGATAGCCCCCTATCCTGACTGTGGAGTCAGACAGAAAGTGAATGTATGCCTTGCATCATTTGTGCAAATTTGACTGACATGTCGGTATGTGCATACCAACTGTATTGACATTAGCTGTAAGCTAGCCCAGCGGCATTCAGTCTCACTAATTGCACTGGTTGCCTGGCAACCTCACAACGACAGCAAGATTCCAGGAAGTCACTGCTCCTGGCCAGGAAGAAGTCCAGCCCATAACTCTGCCTAAAACTGCAATGTGTCATTTTTACACGTATAAGATATAACATGTTGACTAGTTTATTTTTTATTATTTTTGGACTGACAGAGCCAGGTTAGCTGTTTCCTCTGTTTCCAGTCTGTATGCTAAGCTAAGCTAACCGTCTACTGGCTGTAGCTTCATATTTAGCAGACACGCCTGAGAGTGGTATTGATTTTCTCATGCAACACTCGGAAGTTCCCAAAATGTGGATAATTGCTTTAATATCAACTGATCCATGGTCGGGGTATATTTCTCAGTCGTAAACAGAGTAATTTCTGAAGAAAACAAACATGCTGTCATTCTCATGTCTCAAGAATATGACATATATAAATATCTCAGCTGCTCCACTCCTGTCTTCCTCAATCGTTTCCTAGTATCTCCTGCATCCTCAACCCCATAAAGTTTTTTTGCACGTGCAAGCACTTCACACTTGTCATCTGGCAGCAATATCCCTTATCAGGAACTAGTGTGGAGAGCTGTGTGTCTGTGTGTGTCTGTTGACCAAATAGGTAAGGGCTGTGCACGTGCGTGTTTGGGGGGAGCAGGTGTTTCTTCAAAGTGAGGATTGCATGGGTCGGAGGGGGTTATCCCGACCACTCATCGGAGGGACGTGGGTGTGGAGTCCTTGTCTGAAGTGATGCCAGCATTTTATCACACACACACACACACACACACACACACACACACACACAGCGTTGTGGTGTAAAAGGTCGGGACTGTCCAGCTTGGTGTACGACCTGGGAAGATGTCAACACCTGAGTGTAAAGCCACATGAGGTTTCCCACAGTGAGCACGAGGACCATGACTCTGACTTTTTTGGGCATCTGCTGATGACACAAGAGAAGGTACAGAGAGAAATACATCATGTGTACTGCACGTGGACACGCAACACTCTAAAAACGCATTCAGACCCAAAATGCATTCGTGCCAAAGTCATTCACCCGATCACACAATTACTAACTCATACATTCTCACAAAGCATATTGTGATAGCACATTAAAAAAGAAGTAAATTAGGTAAGTGGAAATGCATGGGCTCTATGGCATGAGTGCATTCATGACATGGGACGTTGTAATTATCTTTTTAAAACCATATAGGTCAAGTTTTGGTGAATAAGGGAAGTTATTAATTTGAGTAATGAATTGTAATTCATTCTGAAGAAAGAAAAAAGAAATTAACCTGTTTAAATAAGATTTTCACCACATGGTCGTAACAGCGATGTGGCTTCAGAACAATAAACAATGGTTGAGTAGTTGATGTTGAAACAGACTTTATTTCCCAACAATGCATCCATGGTACTTGTGCTTGTCTCATCATTTGCCGTTGATCAGAAACATCTAGTTGGACCCACAAAAAGCCATGTCTGCCAAATAAAATGTCCCACAATGGCTAAAAATAATATACAACAACGTACGTGTCACATATGTGGTTCCTTATGTTTTATTAATGTTGGTATATGGATTTATATAAGAACATAAATCTGTCCGTGAATGCCTGTAAATGTCAGACTTCGTTGTATGATTGTTCAGAGGTCCTTTGTCTTCTGTTATCTTTCTGTCAGAGGATGATTGTAAGCTCATAGACAATAACATTTCTGCGAGGATCGGTCAGAGTTTAGCTATGCATTTGATCTCTGTTTGCCAGTAATTTTGAAAGTGGAATTAAAAGCTCTTGTGACAAAGACCTTCCTTCCTGTATTAAAAATAAATTCACCAGAACTTTCCACATAGCACCACACAGCATCATTGTGTTTGATTTGGACTGGATTCACAATAGCTTCTTTGTTTGGCCAGCTTTGAAACTGACTATGAAAATGTCAGAGAAATTGTCCAGGTGCATAGCTTTCATTTCCCTCTATCTCTACTAAATATTTACAGGAATATGGCAAACAAAAATTGCACATATTACTGACAGACTCTTTTCCGTCTTCACAAGTGTGAATATACAGTCCATAATTTAATCCTATATATTAGGTGTCCCGACCTTGTCCATTTTCATTTAAAAGTGACTCGAATTACAAATGAGAAGGAAGCAAAATCGTCCTAGTTATTTGTAGTAATTTGAGTTGTTTGTTTAATCATACATAGAAGCAATAGGTGTGTGTACTTTGCCGTGTTAGATGAGCAAAACACGAATAGGAAAACTACCTTGGCTAACCACACAGGTGAGGACGTGACATGAAGCTCGTGGTAAATGGCTTTTAGTACGGCCCCTTACAAACATTGCCACGTTCTTCAGGGTGTAAGCAGTACATGGTGAATGTGTAAGATAGTTAATGGACCTTCAGGAGGACATTGATGGTCTTACACATACTGTATATAGATAGATATTTCAGTTGTAGTAGTATGCTTTAAAAAAAAATAAGATTCTGGGTTTAATATGATTAGACAATCTGTGATACAATACACAAATATAAATACAAATATAACTAAACACTAAAACATAATCAGATTGTTGCCTCTAGCCAAGGAAATACTGATGAGATTAGATGTGTGTTATCCAAATGAAAGATTTCTGCCATTATAAAAGTGTTATTGAGCCCATAAAACATGATTTAAAGATCTATGACAAGGAAGCTTCAGATGTGAACATGTTTAATTGATGCCATATGTATTTGGTAAACACACATTTTTTATAGGCATGTCTTTCTTAAAGACGTGGCTGAAGGTTGTCGACTAGCCTGCGCAGAAGAAGGTGGAATCAGTAGATAAGGGTGTAAAGCTACTGAGTTTATAAACAGTTGTTATCAGACACGGAAGCTGTGCAGTGCCACAAACCAGTGACCGTAATTTTATAGCCATTGCCCGTAAATCTAATGCTTGGTTCCAAGAGATACACTTTCACAAGAACAACCAGTTTGTACCTGATACACCCTCTGAGTCACCCAAAATATAATCCTGCAATACTGAAATTACCCTTGTGATTTACAGTTCCTGTAAAGGCTCAATATTTTGTTTATTTATTTAATTTTTATTAACTCTTTGTCAGCTTTCTATCCTCTGGTACAATAGGATACATAGGTGATGACATAGTTAAGGTACATGCTGTTCTGCGAAGCTATCTTTTGGGGTTGTGTAAGCTGTCACTCACATGCTTTCGTGTATGAGCCATATATCATACTCATCCATCACTGACTACACCTTTAATTTCTTAAGACAGAAAACAGACCAAACAAACCAGAAGTAGCTCTAACCTGTTTGTCCTGACAAATGTGCCATCGCTGCAAACATTTTATGCATTCAGTTTGGTTTGGTGAGAAAGTGAATGGGAGCTGATCTTTGTGACCCCTTCTTACAAACTGTGATGTTTTTCCTCTATGTGAGAAAGTGTTTTATTGGCATGTTGTGTTAAAGAACGCATGATGTCACAAGTAAGGCACTGATATCTTACAAATGAGTCACCTTACTGTACAACTGACCCACATGTACTTTGCCTGTACATGTAATCCCCTCCATTCAGCTGGGATTTACCTGGACTTGTGGAAACTATTTGGTTTCGGTGACTGAAATGGGTCCAAGTTCAGTATCAACTTGAAATAATGTAACATACAAATAAAAAAATTACATTAAATAATCTAAATATATCGCACATATTCTGATAAGTTACAGAATGAAATATTGTTTTTGTGAAGTAAAAGCTATGAAGACGAGTTGCTCTCTGTGCCTGTCTGTGAGGCATGGCAACATTCTGACAATGCTATCCATCGACTTATAAACCTTTCTATCTAATTTTTATCTATTTATATATCTTTATTTATGCCGATGATGCTAAAATGATGCTAAAACTTTTTTTTTTTTTTAGATTTAGTGAATATCTTTCTGTGTGTGTGCTGTTGCATGCAGCCCTGGTTCTGTTAATACAAAACAAACAAAGTGGACTGGACTGAGACACACAACTTACCAAATTTCATGGCATTCCAATCGATAGTTGTCGAAACATCAGGACCTCCTCTGGCAGGTTGTTCCACAGCTTGGGGGCCCTGATTGCAATCACTTTTGTTTTTTAATCTGGTTATGGGAACCACTGGTTATGACATTTCTGGCAAGGAAGCAGCAGTATCCGTGCCAACATTAACACTATTTGAAGCCAGAATATTAACTGCCACGACTGTGGTTGTTTCACATACATATTTCATGTCTCAGAGGATGCAAAAAATAATCTATTGTTCTGCAACCTGCAAATAGGCACAGGCACAAAGGCATACAGTGTAATTTGCAGTTATGTGCAAATGACTGTCTACAGATGGAATGTCGTACTAATTATTACATGCCAATTAACAGGATAAGGGCATTCGGTCTCATAGTGTTCCTTTTGACCTGTTTTATATAATTGTGCAGGTTTTGGCTAATGTACCTGCTGTTTCCTAACAGATGATTTGACTTCTTTAAAGGTCCAGTGTGTAACATTTAGTGTTTATTGGCAGAAATGTAAGGTGCACCTACTTTTCACCACAGTTAAACAATGTAGACGCAAACCTGAGAAGTGTAGTCTGTGATTTCCTGGCTACTGTACTGTAGAGGATAAATCCTTTTCACAAATAAACATATTATAACACTATTATAATAACATATTGTATTTCATCTGCTGCTTCACACAGGCAATACTGCACTGTAGTTTGTCACCCATCTATAAATGTTGTCCTGTTTATTTAAAGGTTAGTTCGACTGTCATACTGTCACTGGAAACTCCACATTCCTTGTTCTAGACAGCTGTATAATTATCAGTCAGTCAACTGTAACTGAGCCACATTTATTCCATTACAACTTATGTAACATCATATAAGGATAAAGTTCTACACCTGCAGCAGCCTGCTGTTTTTGACATTATTCTTTCTTTCTTTCTTTCTTTCTTTCTTTCTTTCTTTCTTTCTGCACAGCACTTGTAAAACCAGTGGTGAAATATAATTACTCAAGTTTTGTACTTATCTATAAATTCAAGGTACTTTTACTTCACTTAAGTATTTCCATTTTATGCAACCTTATACTTTTGCTCCACTAAATCTCAGAGGCAAATATTAAAAAAGGATTTTAGTTAACTGAAATAAAATAAAAATAACTCAAACTACACTGTGTACTTAGAAACTAACAAATAAAATAAGAATATGCAGGAAATGTTTTTTTTGTTGTCAATTTCTTGGCAGGCATTGGTGCGTATGTTTATTGAGACTAGATTATATAACTGTAAGTCAATGTGTTTGTATTGTAATACTTATTCTAAACTGAATATTGCCTAAATCTTTATAATAACCCTGAAACGAAACTAAATATTTTTAAACAAATAAAAACCCACTCTAGAAAGTGAAACTAAACTAAAACTAAAAATTAAAAGCTATAACTCTGACTGATACCATACCAAAATATTTGTATTGCTAGGCTGCTGCCAAGTCAGCTTTTATCTGCAACCCTGTCGACATTATTATTCCCAGGTGCACCTGCTTTTCACCACAGTCTGACTCTGACTTGGAAAGTTAAGCCAAGTCAAACAGTAGGGCCAAACCTGACAAGTTTAGTCTAAGATTTCATGGCCACTGTACTGTACAGAGGATAAACCTCCACTGAAATGTAGAGCAAAGATAGTTACACACTCTGCAGTCTAGCACTTTGATTATGAAACTAGGGGGAAAAATCTGGAGGAGACAGGCCTGTGGAAAATTTCAAAAGCAGAAGAGCAAGAAATTCAGGCTTGTTTTGAGCCCAGCTAGCAGCATGGTGCAATGGATGGCAATGCTGGCTGAAATATCTCTACAACCATATGGATTACTGTTGTATTCAGAACAGATATCCATAGCGCCTGGAGGGTGAATCCAAACAACTATGATGATCCCCTGACTTTTCCTCTAGCACTATCATTAAGTCAAAGTTTTCACTTATTCAGCCAAATATCTCAACATCTACTGGATGGATTGGCACGGAAGGACTTTGGTGATCACTTGACTTTTCCTCTAGCACCACCATGAGGTTCACAATAGCAGTTCTGAGTGACTGTGTCAGCATGGATGGATTGCCATGAAGTCTGCAACACGTTCACCCCCCCAACAGCATTAGCATTAAGCTAATTAAATAACTAAGTAGAACCTCACAAGGCTCTGGCATGGCTGTAGACTTATATTATTTATTAGTTGTTTTGTCAACTGGGGTTTGTTCAGTGTCCAACATTTCCATACTGCTAAATCCACTGTGTTCCTGCCACAGTGATGCTACAAGCTTTAGTTGCACAACCCTAGTTGTTGCAAAAAGCTTTGATAACAGTAAGAATTCTAATTATTTTTGTCTATCAACACAGTACCTTTAAGCTTTGTTGGTGCATGCTTCTTGTGCAGTATGCAACAGCTGTCCTAATGTCAGCTCATCATGCTAAAAAACACCAGAAGACTGTATGATATGTTTAAACACACCAGAGGGCAGTGCAGTGTAGGAAGTGACTATTCAAATATCAGCCAGGAATCAGCATTAGGACTCTTCTTACAGCATGCAAATGCACGACCAAGATGATAATTTAGGGAAATTCTAAAATCAGCGCTGACAAAGACTTTATGTTTTTATTTAACTGTATTTAGTGTTTAAAATGAGTAAATAACTTGAAAATGAATGTGAGATGTGGTATGAAAATATTAAAAACATGATGTGGTATACTGGTCAAACAAGCAAGACACAGTGAAGGGTGTTTTGATATGATTTTTTAAAATCCAAAATCCATTCTTTACAGTCACACCATCAATGAAATCCAGGATTCTTCTCAAACAAACACACTTCTGATCTGTTATAATACAACTCTGATAAGCTTTAGAAACATGGCACCATCACATGAAGGAACATGATTAGGGAGTGTTTTCATAGGCAATTTAACAAAAATATTTCCTTTAATGAAGATAGATTCTTTCTTTTTTTTTCATATACTATAAGGATAGAATAAAATTCTGTCTCTGAAAACTGAAGGTTTTATGTTTGGAGAGTGCTATGTTGAAAGTGTTGCATAGTCGTGGAGACATAAATGTAGGGGTAGTGGGGATCTTTAAAATGACACAAGGGAGTAAAAAACTCTTTGTTTAATGCAGAGTGCAGGGTAAAAATACTCTCTTTTTTAATACTTGTATGTGATTGTTTTGCTCTAACCCCCTCCCCCCCCACACACACAGTCAAAACCCTTAAAAACTAGTCAAAAAGCTTGACCTGCCACCTTGATGCTTATGTACTAGGGCACGTGAGTGTAAAAAATGCTGACTGCAAGCATTAGTAACATAAAGTCTATCTTTGTGCAAATGTAACTCAATAGAACAAGATCCACAGCAATCCCATGTGATAATAATCTCCCAAGCAATCGTATGAACACAGGGGGAAAGCTCGTTTTGTGTTAATCACATTGCAGCCTTTAAAAAGTGCCACTCTGCATCCATCATTTAGAGTAAAATAACAAAATATCCTCTTGGCGGGCAAACAAAGAATCAGCTTAGCTTTAAAAAAATACTGTCATTCTAGCTTATGGGCTGATTAAAGCTCCAAACAATCATAAACCCAAACTTCTCTCTCTTTGCTTTTCAGCGCGGACTTGGTGATTTACTTCTTGAGAGATTGTGTTTATAAGAGCAGACGCCTCAGAGGAATCCTTGTCCAGCTCGCAGTCAATTGTGTTTCTACTGCTCACTCACATCGGCAGGATGAAAGCTGGAAACGTTTTCTAGTTGCAAAAACAAGAGGGGGAATTCCCAACTCAGCTTATAAAGTGTCTTGAGATGCAGCGCCAAGCGTTTTTTAAAAAACAGACGTAAAAACAAATGAAGAAAGGGGTACACTATATGAGCCACACCCAGTCTTTGCTGCTGGTTCTAACTTTACAAGCTCCGGCCAGGGGAGCTGAGCTGCACTCTTTTCCTTTCTTCCTTCTCATCTCATCCATACATACATTCATTTGTCTTACATCCCCGTCCACTGGTCAATCAGATGTCCGTCCACTTATTGGGAACATGTAAGAGTTTGCACTTTTCCAAAGCCCAAATTCTCATCCCTAATCGTTCTCCTTTTCCTCCTCAGTAGCATCCGCAGACCTCTGCTTTGCTTTAAGTCTCTGTCCATCAAAAAAAAGATCCACGATGCCGGCCGCTGTCACCGGAACTCATAGATGGCTGCACTGTGCTCAGGAACGTGGGTGAGGTTTAGAGACTGGTACCTGTAGTATAACAACACAGTGTAGGTTAGAATATGTATGTGTGTTAGAAGGACATGCCATATGTTACATTTAATAAAAAGGTGCACAGGGCAGCCTTGTCATTTATTAATTACATGTAATCACAAGCTCCCTAGCTAATGAAATATCTGAAAAAGCATGTACATGATCATAGGCATGTTTGCTTATTCATTGAGGCTTTCAGGCTGCATGACATTGCTGTCCTGTAAAAACCACCTATCTCCAAAACATTCACTTTTCATGAGCTAAAATAATGCTCCATTCAGATAATCTAAAATCAGATAATAAAGGGTTTTTAAGTGGTTTATTTAGATGAAATTTTTTCTGCAATCAATGTATTTACTATTTAAGATATTTACATTCAGCAATTACCCCCTCAGATTAGTCACTCATTGTTAGTGGCGGAGTCCATTTCATTTAATCTGAGATATAAAATCCAGGTTCATTTTATCTCATTGATATCAGCTTCACTGTTTACTCCTCTATTCTGACCATATTAGGGCTGAATTAAGTTGCTGCTAATGCAAATGGAGCATCCTGCTGCCACTGCTTCAAATTAAAAGCATTCAACTGGTGAAACATGGGGTGGCTTTAATTGTGAAGAAGCCACTAGAAACACAATGTATTTGTGATTAGCACTGATCACAATTCATTCACAATCATTTTAAGCGTTTCTTTTCTTTCTTTCTTTCTTTTTTATTTTTTAACAGTGGATCAGTTTTAACAAGAAGAGAAGAAGGAGGAGTAGCCACAGTGAGCTGTCGAAGAGCTCCAGGTAACGGGCTACACACCCTCAACTCCTCAGCAAGGTAACCAACTTTTACTGTGCCCTGCCGTTGTGTGGCAAACTACTTGCACCATGCACAGCATGAAATCAGATTACAGTTGCTCATAGCATGTATTAAAGAGAGTTTGTTTGACTGCACAATAAACAGATAAACCAGCTGCTCTTCTGTTGTATTACTGTAGCTGGATGAGTGCTTGCTGTAGTATACTGTATACTGTGTCCAGTCCAGTTTGTCAAAAACAAATCCAAAATGAAAGGGTTCACTAGAATAAAAAGGTGGGTGCTGACATCTGAAAGCCAGTAGGTAATTATACTTGAGGAACAAGATGAATTGAGGGCAATGCACAGTTTGGACTGATGATCATGTTCTGCTTTTTCTTCATGTGTGGTTTGCACACCAGAGGTGTTAAAAGGCAGTGCATAGAGTCAATCCGACAAACAAGTTACTTGTAACCACAAGTAGTTTATGTTGCAGTTAATACCGTTTTCTTTCTTCACAACAATGCTTAATGCCATTATCATAGCAAGTATGACAGAACCGCTGGTTGTTAATCATTTTCTGCTTTTGAAAAATTGTACAAAGTAGAGAAATTCTACAATCAGAGAGGAAAACAAAACTCCTTCCAAGTATTTTAGAAGGGTTAGAGAAGAGGATAAAAAAAACCCTGTCTGGAATGAAATCAGAGGGCGTTTGTAACAATAGTGAAAGAATTATGTGCAAAGGCAGTTGAAATTCCAAAGAATGTCAAATAAAACTGAAAAAACTAAAGACAGAGTACAAGAAGCCCACAGTTTGCTTATAACCAGGCAGTACGGCAATATAATTCAAATGCAACAAACTGTGGGTTGGATTTTTGTGCTTCATCCATATAAGGTTACACACAGTCTGAGCTGGAGCTGTTTGGAAAAGCCACATTCATGTACTAATCATCTGAGCAGCTCCCATGAAGAATTCAAGAATTAAGGGCACCTTGAGAGAAGCTGCAGAAAGCTGGAAACATTTTCTGTTTTTGACTTTCCCTACACAGATCTTCCAGCTGGTCTGGGATTTGATCCAGCAACCTTTCACTCACGGGGCTGCTAAGTCGCAAAATGACTCAACCTCCTCTCAAAGTAACTAGTGTTGTGCAGCGTTACCATTCTGAGCTCCTGTGGTAGTAGTAGCCCTCGATCGTTGCTGTGGATTTCTGGAAGCAGATGTAGTAGAATCCAGCAAAGGAAGCGCCGCTGATGTCTTTGATTGTGTGGTCAGGGACCAGAAACTGCTCCTGAGTGGGGACGGGGACAGGGTGAGAAATAGCAGGAGCTGCAGTTCAGAGGTGACTTACTACAACATATGGTCAGGCTCAATTTAGGCAATACCTTACCTTCCACCTCATGAAGATATAGTCAGAGTTCTTCAGATCCTCATAGTCAAAATCATCCGAGTTGAACGTCTTTGCATACTGGTAGAAGGCCTGAAACTTGCCCTTGACACAAAAAGTAAAAGGATTATGTCACGGCAAAACACCATGCAGTACAGCACTTGTGTAGATTATGAAAGCTTACCCAGTGCTTACGGTCCACATCCTCATCTGCATCCCATTTCCGGGTGAGAAATGGCCGCTTCCTGCTGATGATCTCTCCGGCGAAGAAGGTGGTCAGAGTTGGGTATTCCTGCGAGAGTGAACGCAACGGAGAAACAGTGACGTTTTATTTGCTTTGGTGCAGCCAAACAAGAAACAGTGAAAGAATGTCACACCCAATGTTAATAGTAAGTCCATCAGTGTTTTTATTCCAGCACTAATTACAGGGTAGAACTATTTGCTTTTATTCACTGCAGTCAGACTGTGGCATATTGTAAATAAGAATATACTGATTGGTTAGGTTGTAATATATACTATATATAGACAACAATGGCAACAATATTTATTATCGAATTACTTAGGAAAAAACAAATTCAATGCGATAAGAAGTTTAACATTGACCCTGCAGTCTACTGTGACCGATTTGATCCAGAAAATGACATAACATATTGCTTATTCAGGTCACAGACAATAAAGTCATGCTTACTGCACATTTAAACCTTGACATGTTACTAAGCCATATTGTCAAATACGTATAATTTACCACAACACGACAATGATCCAGAAAAGGCTTTCTGTCATGTCCCGTGTGTTTTATTCAGTTCAGGTAGCTTTGCTGTGCTCAATCTGTAGTAGCATACCCTAACATCCTCTAGAATGGGAAACCCTGGAGCTAGACTGTACCAGTCTCTTAAAAAGGACACACACAATGAGCAGTGGGCAGACCCAGCTTAAATGATTTATGTTTAATGTTGAATTACTCCACTCACCTCAGTCAGTCCTTTTATCTTCAGGTAGCCGCACAAGTAGGAATCCTCCATGGTGACATGCTTTAAAAGAAATCACAGTAAAGAATGTTTATTTCTTATTTACTTTTTCTACATGCAAGTTAAAATACATGCAAATGCTGTTATTTGATTGTATATCATATCTGCTATACTAGACGTGCAGGTTTATAAGGTTCTTCTTACAAATGCAGAAGCCAAACATGATTAAACCTCTATTAAGTTGCATTTTTAATAAAAAACATCAAATCAAATGTATCCTTATAATTGAAAAGGGTTTGCTAGTAAACAGTCGCAGGCACTGCTACATCCACAGCTAGCTAGGCGAGTTACTCAACCACAGGCCAGCGCTCATTGATTTTCCAGCTGTCAATCATCACACCGCCCGTTTGACAGATCACCAAATGCCCCTGACAGCTCGCCTGAAGGGTGCAATATCCGCTCCACAGTCCCACCTGCAAAACAACCTCCACGTCGTACGAGTTCCCTTTGCTCTTCTGGTGGCCCCTGAACCTGGAGCCGCTGTACAACAGCGAGGTGACAACGCCGGGCTGCTGGGTGTTTATCGGAGGCGGCGGGATAAGCGAGGCCGAGGATGCGAAGGCCGCGGCAGGGGAGTCGCTGAGGTATCCAGCGGGGACAGGCATGGCTCCCGCTTCGCTGGCTGGGCACCGACCGCGGGCAATTGCCGTCTGGGCGATAGACTCTGTCGGCGTCTTAGAAGAGGTGGGGGAGGACTGAAGAGGTCCACCAACATTAAATTCCCCCCCGATTCCTCCACAGTTTCGTTTACCGGGCACCAAGCTCCCAGAAAGTGGAGTGGACTTCGACGCGGCGCTGTAGCAGAATCCGCTCTTCTCATTGGTCAACGGAGTTCACCTTGCTAAGAACTTCAACGCTGATTGGTTGGACTTGCGGAAGGCTTTATGGGAATATTTGGGTGTAGTTTGTTCCTGTTACGTAAGGGTGCGTAGAAGCGCTTTTAAAACTACATTTCCCAACTATCAAAAATATTTGCGACGCTATCTGTCAAGCGCAGAAGGTCACACGCGTGTTTTTGAACGCAGGAGCTTGTATATGAGCTTAGCTGAGGAAGAAATGTGCGGCAGTAAATAGAGACATAACGCCTTTATACACTTAACCCGTAGAAACAAGTAGATAAAAGAATTGATGCTAATACACCTCCAAAAAAAATGCTGCATCTTTTTAACTAAGTGAAGCAGGTAGCCGAGCTAAAAGTGGTAGCTAGCATTTGAGCTAGCTTTTCTTCAAAACATTACATGTTCACATCTTCACTGCCGCTATGTTGAGGAGCCTTGTTAGAGTCCAGGGACTGTTTGGAAATACTCTTCTCGGTAACGTGTGGCCAAGAAGTCAGCACTGTCCGCTCGCTTTGAAATACTCCACAGCCACAGCAGGTAAGATACATGGTGTAACTCCTTGCTGCAGCATTATGTATAACTTTACCTTGCAGTGCGAGTGTTGACTGAAGTTTTCTGTCGTTTCCAGAGAGAAAAAGATTTTATCAAGATGTCAGTATATCCCAAGGTGAAGGTAGGTGTGAAATGTCACCAGTAATAGGTCCGAGTATGGTGTTTCTCCTAGCTTCCTTAAGGGCTTTTAAGGTTATGATATAGAGCTATTAACGAGCTGTTCATTCTCCTTATAATAGTCATTTTTCTGCTTTATGAATATGTTTTTCATTTCTTATGTAGGTGGTTTATATGAGGTAAACCTAGACAAAAGGAAACTGAAAACTCCTGGTGGGAAGCTGTTCACAGTACCAAATGAAGCCCTGGCTATCGCCGTGGCAACCGAGTGGGATGCTCAAAGGGACACGCTCAAGTTCTACACTATGCACCTGGTACGGCCTTTGGATTGTGTGTAAAGCAGAGTTTGTAACCTTGTGGTCAGACCCAATTTAGGGTTGCTTGATATGTAGATGAGATCCTTAGAGAATTTTAAAATAGCTCTATTGATGTGTTTTATGTGTGATGTGAACATCCCTGTATGCTAATTGACATGACAAACTTTACAGGTCCTCTTGTGGGATGGTTGTAAGAATTTGAGAGGGGAAATCTAAGTTGTGGTTTCCAAAAAAGTATGAGAAACCCTGATTTATTCTATGTATGTGAGACAGAAAGAAATATATAGCTTATTCTATGAGCAGCTGCAACCCAGAACCTCCATTGAGACAAGATCGTTTGCTCCAAAACTAACTGCAAAGTTAGTTTGAATCTTTTTATGCCACTAACGAAAAATGTAACTGACTGAAATAGTAATGTTGGTGCACTCCTCTTGCAGACTACACTGTGCAACACAGCTCTGGACAATCCCACCCAACGTACCAAGGACCAAATGATCAGTGCTGCCCTGAAGTTCCTAGAGACTGATACTATCTGGTATAATCCTTATTGACTTGAGCCTTTTATCAAATTACGTATTTTCAAAACATGCCATGAATAACAACAATAACTAATTCAGTGTTTTGTACATTCATATACCAGATATAACCACTGTTTACAAATCAGTGTGTGTAATGACAGCAGCAACAACATAATAACCAAGTAGATATTAAATGTGCATGAATGAAGTGACGCCCTTTTAATGAAAAACTCTAGTTTGTAAAAGACGTGAGAAATTCAGCACAATGACTACAATAGGATAAAATTAACTGATTATTTTCACATCATTGTGGCTAATTGCTGCAGGTACTGTCCTGCATTTGGGGTGTTGACTTAGAGTTTAAATGTTGTTGGTTATTTGCAGAGATATGTAACGTTAGGTGTTTTTTGTACACTGTTATTAGTAAGTTATTTGCAGTTGTTGCTTTAACTGTTAATGATGTTGATTATCTGTTTAGTTACAGAGTAGAGGAGCCTGAAGGTTTGGTTGAGCTACAGAAGAATGAGTGGGACCCTCTGCTGCACTGGATTGAAAACAGGTAACGGAAGCATTAGATTTTGTGAAGGAACATCGCCTGCCAAATGGTGATGCAGCCCTTGTAAATTAAGCTTCTGTATTAAGCTCTTTCCTAATTGCCTTTAACTCCTTCAACTTATTTGCAGATACAATGTCACTATTGGCTCCTCGTCCAATATTTTGGGTCCTGAGATCCCAGAGGCAACCAAAGACACGTTCCGGCAACACCTGAATTCTTACAACTTCTGGTCCCTGACAGGTAAAACAGGGCTTTTAACAGTTATGTGTTAAATGTGACATGTACAGAAGAGTTTTCATTTTGGTTGTTTGGTAACTGTAAACTGTGCAACTGAAAATGAGCAATAGACAAGTAAATGGGAAGTGTTGTGATATTTGATCTTGTTGCTTGGGTAAATACTATTGTAAGCTGTAATAGTAGTAGGGCAGAGCTATGCAGTAATATGGTTTCTCCTGTGCAGGGCTTGAGTATGTGATCAACCAGCTGAAGTCTGTCGTGCTGTCGATGGGGACGATTGACAGACATCTGAGTGTGGAACAGGCTGTGCTGCTCTCCAGACTGGAGGAGGAATACCAGGTAGGAAAGAAGCAGGGAAACATGATTTTTTCCGTCAACTTGGTATTAATTGGTATCATTAGCATATTTATTTCTTATAATAACCATAAACAAAAGGCCTTTGTCAAGATGTGTGGTGGTCCCGATCTTGGGACATTGTTATTGTTACTTAATGTTCGTATTTCTTCTGTACTCTGGAAGAACAGCACCCTCTTCTGTTTTCATCAGATTTTTCATGAAACCTAACGTGATAGCACCCAACGTACAAGTCAGTGTAGAGGCTGATTTTGCTTCTCTGAGTCCTGGTTTTACTTGTTTACACAACTTCTGCAAATGTTTTTGCTACTAGTAATGATTTTTTTATCTTGCGCTGCTGCCTGTAGTGCCTTCAGTGTAACAATGGAGAAACATAAAGGTTGGCTTGCTGCTCTTCCAGCAGACAACCTCATTGTTCTCTGTTTATTCCTCTAACGTGTTTTTTTTCTCCTGCATAGATCCGGCATTGGGGAAATGTGGAGTGGGTCCACGACTACGACATGTATGAGCTGAGGGCACGAACTGCTGCTGGAACTCTTTTTGTTCACCTCTCATCTGAGAGTTCAACTGTCAAACGCAAACTTATGCAGGACTGAGAATGATAAGCTCAAACATAAACGTCAGTGAGCACTCAGCGGATCTGCCCCTCAGAGATACACCCCAAGCACCTCTCTTTATTCATGTTTCTACATCCATGCAGACAGGCACAACACTTCCTGTCATTTCTATTTAACAGTGACAGCTGTTGCGTTTGTGATCTGTTATTGAGTCAGCTCTCTCCAGTAAAACATTGGCTGTATTTTTGCAGTGTTTATATGTGGCAGCTGCCAAGTGTGACACCCTTCACCAACTTTCCAGTCAGTTCTCAGTCATCCATGACATTTTGGACACTGCCGCACGGTTTGAAGAGAATGGTGACTAATGTTGTTGTCTGTCTGGTTGTGGAATGTTGTTTCCATGCCTGCTTTCTCTGTGCGCTACATTTGAATACTGGAAAAGTGCATATTCTATGCACACTATTCATACTGTGTAGTGTCCAAAAATGGTGCGCTGCATATACAAAATATTCACTTTACAGTTGGTGAAACATGCTACATTCAAATTATTTTCTGTGGTAATGAGATGAAAGCTTGAATGCTGCACACAGAAAGCCTATTCACCAGTATCATCTTCACAACACACTTCTGTTTCTACAATTTATTTTATTTTATTGCGAAGTGGATTGGATCCTCATCCAGAAATATTTTTCACATGCAGAGCTGAAGTTGTTTTGCTTCTTTGGCAGTCATATGTGTCTGTTTTCTTTCCACTTATCGTAAGCAATGTATGTTACCTAACTTTACTGTGAATTAAAACCCAAAATGCAAAACATTCTTATGTCTGTCAACATTAATCACCATGTGTGACTATACTGCGTCTGCATCAGCTCATATCGCAGTGAGTACCACTGCCATGAAATAGCCATTAGAGTTTTATGGCTGCAACCTTTGGTGTCTTTTATTTACAATCGCCAAACTAGCATGACGGATGTTCTAACTGTCCAATCACATTAAAGGTCAGGATTTCTTGGCCAATTACGTTGCTCTGTGGGCGGGACTCGGTGGACGTTCCCTCATGTATCATCATCATCCCATGGACTGGGTTGTTTGTTGTCGAGCAAGATGGAGTTCCTTTTGGGAAATCCTTACAGTACCCCAGTGGGGCATTGCATTGGTATGTAACCAGATGTATAGCAAACTACAACGCGTGAAGATAGACGTATATGTCATGGAAATGTGTTTATTTTGTGCGACAGTCGTTTACGCTCTCGCTACCTTTAGCATGCTAACGTCTCTGAATGAGTTCTCTACAGCTGGACAGCCACCGTTAGCCGCCTAGCTAACTAGTAGTTACGGTAACCCCTGCTGTCATTGTGCTAGACATATCGTTAACTTACTAAAGGTCTGTTTTCCGCTGTTGTCAGCTTCTAGGTCAGTGCTAAAAAACGTCAACGAATACAATTACTTAACATATGTGTTAAATGATGACTAATAGCTCTGTTAGCTAACAGTGAGCTAGCCACCGGTCAAAATCCCATAATTGTTGTGCTGTGTTTTACTGAGACGTCTTTACAATGTGTTTCCTGAACTAACTGTTTGTGTCTTTCAGAGAGAGCCACTGATGGCTCTCTGCAAAGTGAAGACTGGACCCTCAACATGGAAATATGTGACATCATCAATGAAACAGAGGATGGGTGAGTACCCAGGGAAAAATCAATCAATATCAATATATGTTATTGATTAATCCTCTTATATGCATTAGTTTAATTCTGTCTTC